AGCTCTTGCACGTTCCTTACACTGGTTCGTCGTTTTATGTAGCACCTCCACTCCTTAGATAGCCGAGTGTTGAGTTAATTTATCATTCAGGATGCTTCCTTATCGCTCCAACATGGAGACTGTGTGGGTGCGTGTCTAGCGGTTAGCGCTACACGGCCAACACCAGTGACGATTGTCTGAACCGGTCCTGGGCCTCGCGTAGGTTGACTCAGCCTCAAATGAGTACCTGGTGCGGTGTGTAACATCGCCACTGGGGAGACAAAGGCGGTCGGGCGTGGTACTGGCCACCCCCCACCCTTCTTGTGTGCCGTGTTGGTCTTCATAGGTGCAGCTCGCTAACAGCACTTGTCCCAAAAGTCCATTAAGGCTATACGGGTGATCTTTGTCTTAATTTTTTTGCTCTTGTGTTTTTTTTTGCTCTTGTTGTTTATTGTTTAATTAAAACATATTTTACTTCATTGCCCACATCCCCCCCGGAAGTCCTCCTAACCTGCTGTGCTTGCCAATTAGATACCTGGCCGTACCACGTTTCACCGGTGAGCGGGGGTGGCGGTGGCGTTGGCGGGAGTGGGAGTGGTGGGTGGTGGTGTTGGTGGTAGCAGTGGTGGGTGGTGGCGGGAGTGGGGAGGGGAGTGTCATGCCATGTGGAGGCAAAGCAGCCACCCCGCCCTCTCGCATCCTTTTGAAAACCTCTCCGAAGAAAAGTGAATCGCTCGACTTGTTGGGGGGGTTGACGTCAACCCGCATTACTAATCGCGCAATTAGAAACATTAAAATGAATCGGATTGATGCGCGAGTGTGGTGACGCGTGCAAGCGCGCGGAGTTTTCGTGAATGTGTGGTGCGCTCTGTCTGCGTGGTTTGTGCGTCTTGTTTATTTGTTTGTTTCCTCGGGGGAGCTTCGCCGCTGTTGCCCATTTCCCCAGTTGCGACCACATTTCTTGAAGGCTCCTTTTTGCTGCGGGACAAATTAATTCGGATCTCCAAATGTTATCGGCCGTTGGCAGCGTTGCATGCCGCGACGAGGGCCGTGCCCGAGGGAAAATGCCGTGGGCGCGCGTGCACGCTCCCGGGGGGCCCATTGTGGCCAGCACAAAGGCAAAGGGACCCTCGGTGAAGCCTTTCATGGACCGTTGGGGCAAGTGCTGTGAGCGCGCAGCGCCTATGAAGGCCGGCACCGTGGCACGCGAGGGGGTGGGTGGCCAGCACCACTCCCCGTGGCGATGTTTACACACCGCACCACGGAATCGAACTCCGGTATCCGGGTTAGCTAACCCCTGCACTAACCAACAACAACCGCCATTCGCCGCTAAGTGGCGGTGACGTCACCACGGCGCTTGTGCCAGGCTAAGTGTACTTTAAGGCCACGTGAAGTGTCGGAACGTCCGCCGGCAGGAGGTCACGGGACAGACCCAGGTGCCATGGGTTGACTTGACTGAGATGACGGGCCGATGCACCGCCTGCATTAACCACGCACGCACGTACGCGCACACACGCACGCACACACCCACACGCACACACGCGTGCCGCATAGCCGGTTCGTGTAAATGTGACGGCTCGGGTGCAGTCATAGCTGCCCACCGAGGTGTAATGTCTCCCGGGATTTTGATTTCTGAAGTGGTGGAGGAGGGGGGTAGTTGACCACAGCATGCCAAGTATCGTTTTGCACGGTGGCCGCGTGGCACATTTTTACTTTTAAACTTTATCCTTTTCCAATCACGTGTTTTATGTGTTTACGCATGCTCGGTTGCTTGTTTGTTTTTTAATCGTAACGTTTCGTGACGCTGAATCGTGAACTTCATCAACGTTTTCCGTCTGCCGTTCCTTGCGGGGTGGTGGGTGAAGTGGTTTTTTTTGGCCAACGCAACACATCGCTGACGCAGAACGGTGGATTTTATTCTTGACTGCGGTGAAGAATGCAGTGCATTCTGTGAGAGAGACCCAACGCAGAAGATCCATGGGTTTGATCTTCCACGAGGCTGCTCGTGGTCCACCCCAAACCGCATCCACTGCACACACCGTGGCAGCAGTAGATGCGGATATCCTGATGCTGCACAAATGTAAAACTCTGCAGTAGTATAATGACGCAATGCCCCGATCCAGGAGGGATACGAAGGAGTCGTCGCAGCGATGCCACACCGCTGCTGCTCCTGACGCGGCAGTCTGGGCCTGACCACCTGAATGTGAAATTGCGGCGTCTACATCAGCAGCCACACGGCAGAAGAAGTGTGAAGAACATTCTTTGGAGAGACGTTACACCGTGTGGGGTATTCTGAGCGAAGCCATTGAGAAGGGAAACCTTCCAGCGCTCACGCCGGTGAAGCTACTTTGTTATTTTAATGGTGCATGGCTGTGATTCTGATCCGTTTTTAATTACAAAAATGGTGTGCGCGTGCACGCGAGCGCACACGCGATGAATTTGTATGAAAAGCTCAAGATGTTTGTAATAAGTCATACTCTCGTGCGGAATTAGTCACTCGCTCACGACTCGCACTTTCCAGTGAGCCAAGTGGCCCAGATTGCCACAGCGGGGGGAGGAGTGGCCGTTTGGTTTGCTCCGATGTCCGGTTACTCAAAACGTCGAAAGGGAAGGGTTCGCGTTGTTGTTGAAACTGTTCTGCGGCGTTCCGGGGCGGGGGGGGGGTCGTGGAAAACAAAATCTCTTTTCCCGAGTTTTATGTAGTTTTACTACTGGAACCATTTATTTTGTTATCGTTGTTTGAACTCGTCATCACCTGTTATGTAGCTGTGTTTCAGAAGTGACCTGGCTATTGCAAGTGGAAATTTGTAGCAGCGAAATACTCCAAATGCACGTTGATTCTGAATGTGGAGGCAAAAATCAGAGGACCCGGAGAAAAATCCACGAAACCACGGGGAGAACATGCAAACTCCGAATATCTAGATGTGAGGGATCGAGATCAAACCTACCTACTCCTGAATACCAGGCGAGGTGGTTAACATCTCGCCACCGTGGCATCGCTGACCTAGTCGGGCGCCTTTCACAGACAATAATAATACATACAGTTCTTAAACTCCATCTTGCAGCTTGTGCAAAAAAACTTTCGCCACCTTACTAGGCCTGCAGCCTGCGAGGGACATGAGCTGCGTTGAGAGATTTCTCTGCAATACTTTTTTTGTAAATATGAGAAGAAGAAAAAAAATCAAATCTTTCTTTCTTGCAATGCATGCTGGGTGCCACTACCTTGTATGCACGTACGCATGTTGAACTTCTTCCGCACAGCACGTAGCCAACACCGCTCCCTTCATGCTTAAGTCTGCGCGGTACAAAGCGTCACACCAGCGGTGGCCGATGTACGTGGGCCCGCGGAAGATTTTGCCGTTGCGTGCCAGGAGAAATCTGCGCTCATGTCGGCACGCGGCAAATTCTCGCGACGGCTGACGGCAAATCCAAAAATCCCAAACTGAGAATTCGTTCTTGCAAAAAACAGAACAACCAACGTATATGACGCTCGTACGTTACGTCCACAGCAATAGGATTACATTCATCCGGGTAAATTGATACTCGTTGGCTTTCTGGTGGCGGATCGCGGACTGCCCGTCGAGATCCACCAGAATGGACCGCCGCGGCGCCCGGTTCGTTGGCCACCGCTGCTCGGTGACCATTGGCACGAGAGAGCGTCGCTTTACCGGATCCTCCGGCTGGCTACGTGCGGAGAAAAGTCCAACATTCGTGCGTGCATACGTACGTAATTCTACCGCTGCCTTTTGAATCGGGGGTCGTCACTTTGGGATTAAGTATTTCATTCGTGAAATGTTGCGTGTGCGTGCGTATTAGCTGGGGAGATCACTCGGCCAGGTGCACTCTTACCCATTGTTCTACGCGTTTTATGAATGCGCGCTCATGCAAGCCACGTGGTGGTTTTTTTTATTTTCTTTTTGATGCGTGTAGAGTTTGGGTAAGGAAACTACGGCATTGGGGCTCGATGCAGGAGGGGCCGCGGTCTAGGCGGGGCGCCACGGTGGCTGTGAGATGTTAACTCCCTCGCCTGGTATACAGGAGGGGGTGGGTTCGATCCCGACCCTGACACCTGTTATATATTTGGAGTTGGCGTGTTCGTAATGTGGTCGCGTGGAGTATTTGGCTGCTATAAATGTCCACGTGATGATGAGCCACTTCGTTGAGCTATCATTTGTGATAGCCAGGTCGCTTCTGAAAAAGAGCTGCACAGCTCCGTGGCCCTTACCTTGTTAAATTAAAATAGCAGCCGTAGTCGTGACGAACTGGCCTCGTGAAGTTTCGAAATGCTGCGTGCCATCATCCGCTTGAAAGATCCTCGTCCCGCACCTACGGTCAGCACAGTCGGCTACGTACATTGCGAAAGAAGTTCAACATGCACACACACGTACAACGTCGTCGTCGTCACGAGCTGCAAACCCCCCCCCCCCCCCCCCCCCCCCCCCCCCCCGGGGCGTAGCGGGCGCCGGGCGATGGAGCCGCCGCGCCCTCGCCGCCGAGGCTGTGCTGGCGATGCTCGGGCTGCACGCGTGCTCATTGCAGCAACACACGGTGTTCCGGCGTGTTCCGGCTTTTGGAGGCGTTGGCCTGCCAGGTGGTGGGGGAGCGGTGGTGTAGCGGTTAGCGCTACGCGGTGCGACGAACGCGGCGACCCCAGTTGCATTCCTGCTTCACGGCCAACACCGGTGACGATTATCTGAACCGATCCTGGGCCTCCCATCGGTTGATTCAGTCTCAAATGAGTACCTGGTGCAGCGTTGTGTAAACATCGCCACTGGGACCACAAAGGCGGCCGGCCGTGGTGCTGGCCACCCGCCCCCTCGTGTGCCGTGCCGGCCTTAATAGGCTGTTAAGGCTACACTGGGGATCTTTGCTGGCGAGCCGGCCTCGACACGAACACGGCGCTTGGTTTTGGAGAAGTTGGCCTGCCGAGTGGTGAACTTTGTGGGAGGGTGGGCGGTTTGATGGAAGGGCGGTCGAGTGTAACTTGTTGTTGCTATTGTTGTTGTGGTGGTCGTGTGCAGTGGCCTGGTGTGCTGGGGAGCAGGCGTTGACACAAGCAAGATGTCGCTGTACGATGAGCCCATCGGCGAGGCCGGCAGCGACAGCTTCTGGGAGGTGAGTGTCCCCCCCTCTCCTCCGGGAGACGTCCCGGAGACAGGCGCGGTCCCTCCCACGCCACTGCTCGAGGTGTCTCGTCCGTTCTGCACCGCAGTGGCAACGTGACACTCGCCTGCAGGTGTCTCGTCCGTTCTGGACCGCAGTAGGAATGCAGAAAACATCCACTCCAATCCATCGTGTGGATTGTGTGACACGGAGCTCGGGGTATCTCTGTATGGGAGGGAGTGTAGACCACCGCGCAGCCGCACTGAGGTTGTTATCCTCCCCCTCCGCACCTCCGATGAACTCGGTTGTCTACGTACGGTGTGAAAGAAGTGTGTCGAGACCACGAGTTCTCAACCTTTGTGGGACCGCAGCAGATTTGTGTGGAACAGCGTCGACCGCCGTCGTTGTGGGCAGTTGACGCCTACAGTGGTCGGCGGGGCGGCGCAGCGGTAACGCTCGCGGCTCGCGACAGAAAAGTTCCCGCGTTCGATTCCCTACTCGGGTGCCTCTCCGTTTGGAGTTTGTAAGTTCTCCACCTCTTCAGAGTTTGTAGCTGCAGTGGCCTCCGGCCTCCTAAGAGCGCTCCAGACGGCCGCAGAAGCGCAGATGGCAGAGCGTGCGGAATCGCGGGTCTGGGTCTCGCGTGACGCCCCCCCCCCCCCCCGCTTGTGTGCCCGCGCCCCCGCACGCAGGTGGGCAACTACAAGCGCACGGTGAAGAGGATCGACGATGGCTACCGCCTGTGCAACGACCTCATGGCCTGCCTGCACGAGCGTGCGCGCATCGAGAAGGCCTACGCCACGCAGCTCACCGAGTGGACCAAGAAGTGGCGGCAGCTCATCGAGAAAGGTGGGCGCGGGCTGGGGGGGCGGGCGGGCGGCTCCCCCCACCACCCCGGCGAGACGGCGATGCTCGTCGGTTGCCGATATTTACAACAACGACGACAAAGACAAATATTTGGGAAGGTTGCGGTTTCGCCCTTTTCTCCGGGGTGACCAACCGCCACCGACTGGCACACCGCGTCGCGGCAAACCTCCAACATACCCTCGTGCCGTCTCGTTCAGGGATATTTTAATATTACTTGCGACGTGCGGACGAGCACGGCACGTACCGTACAGGTTCGTAATTGTTGCCCATGACGGCACGACTCGTAAAATCCCCGAATTTAAGGACTCCCTTGGCTAAAAACTCTTAAAATTTGCACAGTTTCTTGTTTTTTTTTAACGATATCAGGGGTTTTTTAGCCCAGCGGATTATGTGACCTGCGAAAAGTCCCCCGCCTGGACCTGCCGGATCTCGTGGTGACGCTGCCGGTGCTCGCGGTGACGACGGCGCCATTGTCGACGACGCAGCTGATGTGGCCCGCGTGCCTGCGTCCCCCCCCCCCCCCCCGCAGGCCCGCAGTACGGCACGGTGGCGACCGCGTGGAAGGGGCTGATGAACGAGGCGGACAGCGTGAGCACGCTGCACGTGGACATGCGCACGCAGCTCATGAGCAAGGACATCGAGACGATCAAGGGCTGGCAGAAGGATGCCTTCCACAAGCAGATGATTGGCGGCTTCAAGGAGACCAAGGAGGCCGAGGACAACTTCCGCAAGGCGCAGAAGCCGTGGGCCAAGAAACTCAAGGAGGTGCGTGCGGGGGGCTTAGCTGGCCTAGCTGGCTGCACGGGGTCACGACGGCGCCGGCCGCCGCCGTGCTATGGTCTCGTATTCCTTAGACTGTGCGATTGAGATTTTTTAGATTTAACTCTTACTATTCTTACTATTCCACGAAAAAAATTAATCCCGAAGAGGGGGAATTGGCCGAATAACCCGAGGTAGAAATCTCGCTCGATCGTCTTGTGGCTCGGTGAGGAATTCCTAGAGAGAAATAAATAAGAAAAATATTATTTCTCTGTCATGCGTTATGTTTGCAATGACAGCTCGCACGGGGCCGGAGCGAGACGGCCTCCGCCTGTGTGACCGTCTGGAACGTGCTCCTCTTTCCAATATTCGGAAGCCGGCTGGAGCTATGCACTTTTAAACCATTATCTAGATTGACACACTCATTTCTTTAGGACCGCTTTTTTGTTGCGTGTTAGTTTCTTGTCGTTGCCCCCGCGCCTCCGACACGAGAGTCGTGCTACGTCGTACGTTCGGCTCCTCGAACGTGTCGCGCCGTGCCCGGGGCAGGTGGACGCCAGCAAGAAGCTGTACCAAGCGGCCTGCAAGGAGGAGAAGATGGCAGAGAGCCGCGACAACCAGTCCAAGACTGACCCGGCACAGCCACCCGATGTGCAGCGCAAGCTGGCGGAGAAAGTGGAACGCTGCAAGGCCGAAGTGCAAAAGGTGGGTCGGGGTGGTGTGCTCTGGGTAGAGAGTCGTGTCGTCGTCACGGGTGAGCGTGCACAGGGGCAACAAGGGATTTGAGTATTTGACTGCTCTAAATGGGCTTCTCTCTGGGCAGGTATTTTGCCACTGGTAAAGGAGATGTCTCATAGTGTAAATGCTTACCCCGAGCTCTCAATACTCTGATAGTGCGCTGTTTTTGAGTTGTTCGCCTTTTGGCGTCATCTGGTCCAACACCAATGGAGACTAGGCTCTAAGAAAACTGTTTCGGGTGTGGACCAATCAACTTTAAGGACAGTGCTTATCATTATCAGAGGTGTTCTTTTTGTTTGCATTTTGACTGCTTGTGTTGTGCTTATTGCAAACATGATGCCTTGTATAAAGGTGTCAGTTTTTTGTACCAGTTGAAAGGGTAAAAACCTATCACTATAGGTGCTAAGATGTTAAAACACCAAACTGAAACCTTTTACAAGGAATCATGTCTGCTTTAACCACAATACTTGTGGTCAGAATGCAAACAAAAAACATACTGTCTTTGAAACGGATTGGTCCACACCAGAGACAGCTTTCTTTTGAGCCTAGTCTCAAAACGGTGTTAGACCAGAGGCACCTTGTGGCACTTTTTGGTGTTTTCTTGCTGTGGTTGTCTCACCTGATGACGACTGCTTGTGTTGCGGTCGAAACGTCGTGATCTATTATTTTTTCTACCTACGTGACTTTACCGAAAGAACCAAAGAGTATGAAAACCTATTCTCATATTGTGGGTTTAATCTCCCAGGACCGGTTCAGATAATCGTCACTGGTGTTCGCCGTGAGCGGGCAGTCGAACTCGGGTCGGCGGGTTCGTAGCGCAGCACGCTTACCATCGTCTCTACACACACACAAAGATCCCCCATATAGCCTCAACAGACTGCTGGGGCAAGTGCTGTTATCGAGCACCTGTGCGTGTGCGCGCAAACACGCTCGCAACGAACGCACGCACGACTCTTCCCTTCCACCTTGTTCCCCTGCAGAGCAAGGACCGCTACCAGAAGGTTCTGGAGGATCTGAATTTGGCCAACCCCAAGTACATGGAGGACATGGAGCTGGTGTTTGACCAGTGCCAGGAGGCCGAGGGAAAGCGCCTCACCTTCTTCAAGGACGTGCTCTCAAGCGTCAAGGTTCACCTCGACCTGTCCAACAACGACAAGTGAGAAACCCGTTTCCGGACGAGCTAGGAAAATTGACATCGCGTACGGCTGGCGTTCTCGAGACGTACGTGTGTGTGCGCGTTGAAGTTCTTCAGCGCCGTATGTCGGTAACCGATGGGGGAATAATGGAGTGAGGCTCAGGGAACTGTGGAGGCGTAAATATTGAGACGGGCTGGGATAAGTCCGCAAGGACTAAGACGTGAGTTCTCAATCTGGATTATTTAAAAGCGCCATAGTTCTCAGTGACTAACATCAGACAGGAAGAGCGTTCCAGACGGCCGGAGGAGCTGCCGATGCAGAAGCGCGCAACACCTCAACGGGAGAAGAAGCGGATGCTCGTCCAGGGAGCCGCACTTACCGAGCGCCCGCCCTGCCCCCTGTCTCCTCCTCCCCCTCCCCCGTGCTGTTGCGCAGATTTGCTGCCATCTATCGGGAACTGCAGCATGACATCTCCAGCATCGACAAGGAAGAGGACCTCAAGTGGTTCCGTAACACGATGGGCGCTGGGATGCCCATGAACTGGCCGGCCTTCGAGGTGCGGGTAGCCAGGGCAAGGGGGGGGGGGTCGGGGGGGGGCGTGGCAGCGTGAGCAGGGGGGCAGCTTTGAGAGCAGCTGGGTGCGTGGCCAGCAAGAAGGGAGGTGAATTGGGATTGGGTCAAAATCTGGCCGCTTTTCAGTTTTGCATTTTTACGAAATAGCAAAGGTAACAAACAATTTGAAGCCGGATAGCGAAAGCCTACGTCTTAAACTTATTATGAATGTTATATTAACCCTTGGCTGTTGCAAGACGTCTCCAAGTAGCAGGGGGTGGGGGGGGGCCTCGTTCACCGCCGAATCTCTGAACACGCGCGTGGCTCCGCATTTATTTAACTTGGAGAGGCGTAGTAGCAGCGCCGTTGTTTTTAAAGACGTCGTTACTCACCGCAGCGAACCGCAGCGACACGACCGCCACCCTACGATAGCCGGCGCCAAACTGTGCCGCACGGCCTCCCGCATGGCCTTGTGGGAGCCTCGCTACGGATACAATTATTTGACTTCAGTTTTTCTTCCGGTTCCGTTCCGTTGACGCACACGTGCGTATATACGCAGACGTATGGGGAGTGGTGGCATAGTGGTTAGTGCATTGCACTACGAACCAGGCCAACATTGGTGATGGATATCTGAACCGGTTCTGGGCTTCCTCTAGGTCGACTCAAGTACCTGGTGAGGTGTGTAAAACATCGGCAGTGGTGGGCGGGCATGCCCTGCCTCACCCTTAATAGGTGCTCGCTAACAGCACTCGCCCCAGAATTTTGTTGAAGGTCGTGTGGGAGTATCTTTGTCTTTGCGCGCCGTGCGCGTGTGCAGGAGTATTCGCCGGACACCAACCGCACCATCAGCAAGCGCGAGAAGTCTCGCAAGGCACCCGACGGCGTCACGCTCACCAACATGACGCAGGCCGGCGACTACACAACCGCGAGGGCCAACACAGAGAGGTGCGTGTCCCTCCGTCCGTGTCCGCTCGATGGTGCGCGTGAGCGCGTGTGTGTGTGCGCGTGCGTGTGTGCGCGCGAGCGTGCGTGTGTGTGTGTGCACGCCAGGCCTGGTGGGGAGCGGTGGCGTAGCGGTTAGCGCTCCGAACCCGGTGAACCGAGTTCGATTCCCACTCATGGCCAACACTGGAGACGATTATCAGAACCGGTCCTGGGCCTCCCCTAGGTCGACACAGCCTCAAATGAGTACCTGGTGCGGTGTGTAAACATCGCCACTGAGGAGACAAAGGCGGCCGGGCGTGGTGTTGGCCACCAACCCTCTCTTGTGCCGTGCCGGCCTTCATCGGTGCTCGCTAACAGCACTTGCCCCAACAGTCTGTGAAAGCTATACGGGGGATCTTTGTCTTTGGCAGGCCTGGCACGGACTTCACCGTCACGGAGTGGTGAATGGCGGCCGTTGTGCGGGGCAGCGATAGATATTTGTGGTCGCGTGGATTTTTCTCCGGGTCCTGCGGTTTTTCCCTCCACATTTAGAATCAACATCACGCGTTCACAGTATTTGGCTACTGCTATAAATGTCCACGTGATAAGCCACTTTGTAGAGCTATCATTTGTGATGGCCAGGTGGCTTCTTAAAGAGAGCTCTACAGCTCAGTGGGCCTTACCTGGTAAAATAAAAAAAAGTTTAGTTTTGTCGTGCCAAGAGTAGAAAATAATTCACTTTTTTTTTTCCCGCCGCCGCAGCTTTGAACAGAACCAGAACTTTGCGGGCGAGTGGTCGGACGAGGAGGCCTCCAACCCGTTCGGTGGCGGCACCAACGGCCACAGCAACCCCTTCGAGGAGGACGGCGCGCCGGCCGCCACCGGCGTGCGTGTGCGGGCGCTGTACGACTACGACGGGCAGGAGCAGGACGAGCTCACCTTCCTCACCGGTGAGAGCACACTCACCTCCCCTTCCTCACCACCAGCGCACACCAGAGGTCGCAATCGGGTACCCGATACCCGTACCCTACCCGATACCCGGCCGGGTATCGGGTAGCCGTTTGCGACCTTGGTGCGGCCGGGTACGGGTAAGGAATCAAAACCCGTTTGCGACCTCTGGCGCACACTCACCTCACCTTCCTCACCACCAGCGCACACTCACCTCCCCTTCATCACCACCAGCACACACTCACCTCGCCTTCCTGACCGGGTGTTGAACGGCGGTGAGATGGAGGCAGCAGTCTTCACGGTCGCCCTGTTCACTGGTGAACTCTCCGCAGGTCAAGAGTTCATCAAGCTGGAGGATGAAGACGAGCAGGGGTGGTGCAAGGGCCGTCTGGAGAGCGGGAAGGTGGGGCTGTACCCCGCCAACTACGTGGAGCCCATCTAGGATCACACGTCCGTCCATCCACCCCCCCCCCCCTTCCCCGCCGTGGTCATTTAAGCACCAACCCAAATGTTTACCCTCTCCCATCTTGACCTCTCCACCCCACCTGACCCCCTCCCCCGACCCCCCCCTGACCCCTCCCCACTCTCCAACCGAGGACTCTTTATCCTGAATATCCACGTGACATGAATCCCGTCTGCACAAGGAGCTGATCAAAAGTTGCTCCAGCCCTCACTGAGCCTGCCTTACTTCCTGCTCTCCGATTGGCCTGGCCGCGTTGGAGCCTACCCCACGTTTCATGTTCACCGCTTCGCGGCACGGTGACCGGCGGTGGCAGTGGCGACGGTCGTGGTGGCAATCTGTGCTACTTCTCGAATCGCAAAGAGCATGTGGGGTTCCCACCTCCACACTTCTTTGCCTGAGCAAAAAAAAATAAAAATCGTACAAAAAAATAATTTCTTTACCATGACACCCAACCTGCCACACTGATTGGCTTGTTCTGTTGCCTTGGTGACTTCAGTTATTGTTTTTTTGCTTTTGTATTTATACAGATTACTGCAAGCAGCCTATCTGGCGAGCCAGCATTAGTTACATCATTTTGTTCATGTTAAATAGATAAGTAAAAAGCTGCTATGAATGCTGCAATTCTTTTTTTTGTCACTCCGTAGCGGTTGTCCAAGTATTAATATTGACGTCACGTTACTGCAAAAACCAATCTAAACGAGAGTCTTCGCTCTTAAAGTGAAGTCATAGTGTCAATTTGTACACACGATAATCCCACAATCCAAAGGGATGCTTCATTCAAACAGCAACCTTGTGGTCTTGCCTAAACTGGCTTCCAGGTCACAGTCGCACCCAGCGTCGACGCTTTTGCAATCGACACGCGTGCTAACGTGTGTCCCGCTCCTGACATTATGTCTGTGAGCTGCTCGATCATAACCATAAAATCCTGCCGGCATAGTCAAGTTTGACCTTCTGTATGTTGAACTTTTTTTGCACCGTACCGTAGCCAACCGCGCTAATCGGAGGTGCGGGGGAAGGACAACAAACTAAACACAAAAAGCAATTCTAAAGAAATTCGTTTATCAATCTAGATGATGATTTAAAAGTGCGTAGCTCCAGTACCTTCCTAATATCGGAAGGAAGAGCGTTCCAGACGGCCACAGGAGCGCATCTGAAAGCGCCGCGCGATGCAGCGACCGTCTTTGTTGGATGGCCAGCCAAAAGCCGCCGCTGTGAGGATGATGACTGGAGTTCGCGTGGTGGTTGTATGCTTATAATGGAATGTAAAATTCTTATTTGACAAGGTAAACGTGTTCTCGAATTACTTCAGAAGCATTTTTCACGTCAAGCAAAATAAATCTCGTCCAGCAAAATACCCCACCAAAATGCCGCAGTCGATACAGTATTACGCAACAGCAAGTCGTGCCGTGAGTTGACCCCAACGCGTGCCTTTGTGGTGTCTTACTTGCCGGTGAATGGGGAAGATTTTTGGTGTTGCATCGACAAGACTACTCATGCGAGAGAAACCCCGAGGAAAATCAAATCCTCCCAACGCGAGCCAAATCGTACGCGAGCGGAGCGCTTTGCAGACCTCTAAGCGGTAACTCACGGGGTGCCTCCAGGCAGTCGGTGTGTGAACGCCACTACACCTCTTCACCCAGGCATCTCTGCAATCATTAGTTAACACGGCTGCGTTGTCCGCCACGTAATAGACTGGCTAAGACCCGTCGTTTGCAACAGTAGCACAAAGCGTGTTTTTGCGGGCCAATTTCCCAATTTGAAAGTTAACCTGCCTTCTAAAGTGTAATTGAAAAGACTGACGATGTGCAGTGGCAATGTATGCTGCTAATGCAGCGACATGGATGTTGGGTTGTGGAAGGTCGGTAAGAAAAGGACCTTGGTAACAATTGTCCTGTTTCCACCTTGAGCTGTAATTAAGGACATCTCACCTTCAGTGCGGCATGTGATTTTTAGCCTCGAGAATGCGTGGACTTACTGCAGACGCCCTAGTTTACCCAAGCTTGCAAACAACATGGAAGCCAATTGGCCAGACATCCCAAACACAACTCCAATCCTGTAAAACAAAACACGTGTTTTAACCAGGCTTTCTTTGATAATTATTTTAATTGGCCAAACATAACAGTATTAAAGTAATACACTGCAAATGCTACGGCGAAGTTATTTTTAAGGGGGTGGATATCATTGTTAACTGCCTTCATTGACTCTTCTTGCAGCAGCAAGCATAGCAGCTTTGACGAGAGGGGCCTTAGGAAAAGCTGTCAAAAGCCATCGGCTATGGTGGATTTCGTCTTCGGGCTCCAGGCCTCATCGCCTCCTATCAGGGCACCAATAGTCTCGTTCTCACAACTGTTGATCGAGACTTGCTTCTAGAAGAGAAAATAAAAGTTCGCTTGTTTGTCAGCTGGATGTGTGACGTGATACGTGGGCCGCGATGTCTGGAGTCGAGATGGCTTTATCCAAATGGGATTTCTGTTCTGCGATTTTTTTTTTAAATGCAAAAAAAAATGTCGTTTTTAGGAAACGTTATCGGTTAAAACAAATCGTATTTTTTTCTTTCTATATTTTCGCTTTTGTTGAATAATTTTTTGTTCTTCTCAAAGCAAACAAACATCAAAAGTCGCAATGCACAAGCGTGATTGCAATTGGTTTTCAGTTCAGTCGCCGGTTTTTACTTTGTAAAATCCCTCCACCGTGGTATTCTTCGGGGTCACTTTGGCACAAACGTGTGTTTAAACAAACACGTCCCTTAGAATCCCCCTTTCCTCCCTTCACCTCCCAACAACAAACTTTTTAAGATGACATCCCTCTGTGAACGGAACAGTCCAAGGACATGCTCCATCATCACCCCTTTTCCTCGTCTGCAACAGTGGACGGACCTGTACATCTTGACCCGTTACCCCCCTCCCGTCGCCCATCCTTTTTGTGACAATGGAATGGTCCACTCGTTTTATCCACGTGGACTGGCTTGTGCATGGAGTTTTAAAAGTTAAGCCTTCCCTTGGTTCTTGGTAATAAGTGCATATTACATACTGACGTTAGACAGTGAAATGCTTAAATAAATCCTAAACATATTGCTTTAAACAAAAATCGTAAAGATAAGTTTATTTTCATATAATCTGCTTGATAAAAAGGAGAGAATGTGTTTAAGTGACAGTTTTTTTGTCTCGCACACTTTCACGTGTTTACGGTTTAAATTTATCGAACAATTCCGCGCGTTTAGCTTGGCTGTCGAGAGGGAGACCCCCCACGTTTTACCCATTTTAACATTTTTTTTGCTTAAAAGATTTTTTTCCCCGTTCGTTAACGGATGTCCTCTTGTGTACAGATAGAGAATTAATAAATATATGAATAGTTATGACAATAAATATGTATACATGCAACCTGTCTGCGACCTTGTTATTGTGCGCGTGTTTAGCACCGCATTTGCCTTCGCGAAAACACGCGTGCATTTCCCCGTACACTATTTTTGGCGAGTTGATGAATTCGCGTAACAATCGTTGTTCAATCTTGATTTGATCGTTGCTAATTTCAACTTGTGACGCGCGCCGCCACCACCGCCAACAATTTCCCAAGCTCTGCGGTCCTCTCAATCGAAATCTTTATTTCCGCTGGAGAAATCCGACGAGCTCTGCCAATGCAGCAGCATGGTCAAGCAATGTGTGTAAATACCGCAGGTCGGTGACCCGAGCCGGAGATTATTTAAGTTCGCCTGCTAAGCAGTCGTTTTTCACCACGTAAACCGACCACGGCGCATTGTACAGCTTACGCAGGAGGTGCACACACACACACGCGCGAACTTCGATAAACTCCTGCCGATGCCATCGCATGCGTGACATGAAGTATCGTAATTTACTCCTGGGGGTATCTCATGAGCTGTCAAGCTCTTCCACAGATGTGCAGTCGGGTCACGGGGTCAGCGAGCCACATCAACCGACACAAAACGAAGTAGAACGTCTAGACAAGGAACTCACGAAAATAAAATAAAGTACAGAAGTACAAATTGTATAAGCACATTCCTGCCGATTTGCCAACAAAAGCAAGCTTAAGGCAATAACACGATGCACAGTCCCTCCTCACATTGCGCATGAATACTCAACACTTGTGTAATGCTAACATTTTACAATTCGCAGTTTGTAAAATGTGAAAGGTTTTTTTATTTATAAATCCGCCAATTCATGTGTACACGTCGAGTGCTTGCGTGGCAATACGATCCCATTCAGACGGAGCTCAAGTCCACTTTTTAGTTGTCTTTGGCGAGCCACGGTTTTGGCATCTCGACGCCGCTGGATGTTTCCACGTGGTGGTGGTGGTGACGATGATGAGACACTTCGTTGGGTTATCATTTGTGGCCAGGGCGCTTCTAAAAAAAACCTAATCCCCCCGTGGGCCTTACCAGGTGAAATGAAACCTTAATGTTTTTAAGTGATTTGTTTACTTTTCCCATACGTTGCACTGCGATCGTGTTTTTGCATCGTGTTTGTTGCAACGTTCTGACCCCGTGCCCCTCCTGGACACCCGCGAAAGAGCTTTACAGCTCATCGGATTCCTCCTGCAGCACGGACACAGATTCTGAGTCCTCGTCCGCGGTGCCACCACGGCCCAACACCAGCAGCATCAGCATCAGCATCATCAGCAGCAGCATCAGCAGCTCGGCGTGTCCGGTGAACTGGAACATCGCGTGAACGACTGGAGCCTGCGCTCGTGCCATGGCGTTGGGAATCGCGAAACGCAGCAGCAGCAGCAGGATCATCAGCAGCATCATCAGCAGCAGCATCATCAGCAGCAGTATCAGCATCAGCAGCAGCATCAGCAGCAACAGACATTTGGCATTGACGTCCAGAACACATCGCAGCCATCGTGCTGGCAACAGAGGGCGCTAAACCCGTGAACAACATCCCGGTCTGCAATGGGCACCGCTGCAGAGCGAGCGAGAGCGGCTTGTCGCCACCACGTGTTGTGTGTTCGTGGGGCTTGGTCCGACAAGACTCGATATCGCAGGAAGCCAGTGGGAAGCTGTGTGCACTTGCAAATCATCGAGATGGAAAACTCCCATTTCTATACAACTGCTTGATGATTCTAGATTTGAAATCTTGAGACAGTAAATCTGGCTGTGACGGTCCCACCTGATGACGGATAATTGTGTTGCTTCCGAAATGTCGTGATTATTATTTTATTAGTGTATTTTTATTTGTACCTACGTGACTTTACCGAAAACACCTAAGAGTTTTCTTGATGGTGTTGTTGTGTTGAAGTCGGTTGCCCTCCTCCACCCCCGCGTCTCCCGATTCGCTTGGCTCGAGGAGATTCCACGCAGCTCCACTTCCCCTCGCCGTGTTCACAGCCGGCGACGTTACGGAGTTGACGAGTAAAGACATTCACACACAAACCACGAGCGAGAGCACATACAGTACACTGTTGTGCTCGTTAACCCGGCCACTGACAATTCGTACAGTTTGGCACGTCAACAAAACTTGCCAATCATTTACTAGTTCAGCACATTAATCTTAACGTTCACCCTTCACGAGGGAGAAACGCAAACACATCGACAAAATAAAAATGTTTCTGCCCGCATTGAAGCGGCTCGACAACTCAATTCCCTGCAGCGCGAGAACACGACGTGACCCCAGCGGCTTCACAGCTGTGGTGGTGGTAGTGGTGGTGGTAGTAGTAGTAGTGTTAGTGGTGGTAGTAGTGTTAGTGGTGGTAGTGGTGGTGGTGGTAGTAGTGGTGGTGGTGGTAGTGGTGTTGGTGTTGGTGGTAGTAGTGGTGGTGGTGGTAGTAGTGGTGGTGGTGGTAGTGGTAGTAGTGGTGGTGGTGGTAGTAGTGGTGGTTGATAGTGGTAGTGGTGTTGGTGGTGGTGTTAGTGTTAGTGGTGGTGTTAGTGTTAGTGGTGGTAGTAGTGTTAGTGGTGGTGGTGCGGGCTATCTCTGTCGCCTGCTGCGTCAGGGACTCGCCTCGCTCCGCCGGGGGGCGTCGACAGAGCGGCGGCGGCGACGCCTGGCGACCACGGGCGGCCATCTTGCGTCGGGAAGGACCCCTCAGCCCCTCCCCCCAGCCCCCCCTTCCCCCAGCCCCCCCCTCCCCCAGCACCCCCCACCGCCCCCCCTCCCCCAGCCCCCCCAGCCCCCCCCCACCGCCATCCTCTCCCCACCACCGCCGCCCGCGTGAAGGGGTGGGGGGGGGGGTTGTCCACCCGCCCCCCACCCAACATGGCTGCCGCCGCCCCCCCTCCCCACGTCGCCGCCCCCCCTCCCCACGTCGCCGCCCCTCGCCCGAGTAACGTGGCGCTGACGTCACGCCGAGTGGGCGGGGCCGTCGTGTCGCCACTTCCGGTTGCCGGGTCCGCTCGGGAAAGATGTCGGAGGCGGGCAGGCAGGAGGTGCAGGCCGTCTTCAAGCGCCTTCGCGCCGCCGCCACCAACAAGGTGACGCCTCCTCCCTCGCTCGCTCGCTCCCTCGCGCTCTGCCCCGTCACCTCCCGGGGTGTCCGTCGTGGGACCCCCCCCCTGCCCGCAACGCGCGAGTTGAGACGCCGCGGGGGTGGGGGGGCTGCCTCGGATAGTCAGGCCGCACGGTACACGTAAGCGAAAAGTCGGCGAGAGACGCCTCGGAAAGTGACCCCGGCTCAGTCCCCACCTCGTCCCCACCTCGTCTCTGCCCCCCCCCCCCCTCGTCTCTGTCTCGTCTCTGTAGTCTTCGTGCGGGGTGGTATTGTGGAGAATACACGGACGGCTCTATGGAAATTATAGCAGCAGTTGCCTTTCGGAAAGCCTGGTCCCCGCCATGTGAATGTGGAATCGCCGCCGAATTGCCACCGCTGGCTCCTTAGGTGAAGATATTCTGCTGCCACGGCGTGACGGTGTCGGTGCGCTGGCTGCTGATGTCTTAGATGTTTATATTGTTCTGTCAATTTGTCATCTACCGCTTTCTCTGTTACACACCGTTTGCATAACAGTTGCATTATAATTTAAAGCTGTTGGGAAAATCGATAGGGTGGATAAAACAATACGTCCTTTCAAAAATTAAAATCATCCTGCTTACTCGCTGATTATGTATAAGTTCTTCATAGTATCAATGAGAGGTGTTTTAGAACACAGTGAGTGCGTTTTAAGTCCCGAAACAGATTCCATCAAATTCCTGTTTGTCATCGGATTTTAGTTTTTTTTTAAACGTGAACACAATGAGTCATCGCTCCACACCGCTGCAGTGACCATTAAAGAGAACCCCTAAGTTATGAGGATTATAAAACATCTAAAACACGCATCTTTCATTGCAGTGAGGCTAATTTATTCTACTTTGTATTGGCCGTCAACGCAGTGAGTGTCACTCCTGTTAGTGCGACGTTCTTGACGGCGGGGGACTTGGTGGAAGATCTCGAGTTAGACATCATCCCACTTGCTCCTTCCCACCGCCCACCCCCCGGCCTCGGTAACGTGAATTACAATATTGCTGCAAGTCATCATTTCAACACGCAGGAGGGCTTTTCGCGACCACTGTTATATCCATAATGGAGGTTTTTGGGTTCAATCGCGTAAATATGAATGTGTCGTTAAACCCGCCACCACCCGACACAGCCACAGATTTCTCCACACCTCTGGCTGTCCGCCTGATGATGCTGGTTGTAATTACTGGCGAAACGTCGTTACTCAGATTGTAAATGTTGTGGGTTTACTCACCAACACACCGGCGTGCTGGACTAGTAACGAATTGGCACGTTTTGTCTGCGTGACAAACCTTACTCATTGGCTGTGTCAGATGGTGGCGGGTTTAACGAGACATTTATATTTACGCGATCTAACCCACAAACCTCGATGAAATTGTCAGTTGGTCGTCGAATGCGGAGTCTGCTCCCCGCCATGATAACGTGGAGTTTTCACCACTACCCTGGGTCATATCGATATATTTGTATCGTCATTTCTAAAATAAATTAGAATGCATTGAGTGTGAACTTGTGAAACTCCAGAGTTTGGTGCCTGAATACAATTTTTTATGTGGTTCGTGTTATGGCCTTTTTAATCTGTTTTGTGAAATTCGTCAAAACAGTCGGGATAAATAAAATAACAAGCACTATGATGTCATTGGAATGCAGAATTTTATATCTATTTTTTTCCCTCAATGCACATTGCAATACATCACACAGCAATGTCCACCGTTCAAGGTCCCCCTTTCATCTACACCCTCCTCTTCCTCTCCACCGGAATCACCTGGCGTGTCATCTGCAATGGACCCTTATCCTCCTCCTCCGATAAACGGGATGCTTTGCTTGAAAAGTTTTCAATGTTAATTTCGAGTCCGATTGCCTTTTCTACCTCGTTTGATTGTTGATTCGTTGTCGAACTTCTTTCGCACCGTACGTCGCCAAACCCGTGCGAATCGGAAGGTGCGTTCTTTGTACGATAGCGATGTCGGTATTTATTCACTGTATGTTTAATGCGCTGCGACACGTTTGAGTTTATTGTGCGATTGACATTTATTTGTGATATTTTGTTCTTGGCTCGTGCGCTCGGCTGGTAGTTGAACTCTTTTTGTATTCGCCATCACTTATTGGCCCAGGGTCACCGTAGAAAACAGTGCCTTGCAGCTTCAGATCATTCTACAGAGTACGTGACAGTCTGTGAACCAGTAATCTGCTCCTCCCTCCCCGATGCTCAACTGCTAGAGACGGTGAACCCCATATAGCTAGCATATATATGCAGACAAATACTCTTAAGCGTGTGACGTTGATTCTAAATGGTGGATGGAAAAACCGGAGGACCCGGAGAAAAATCCGCACGACCACGAGGAGAGCCATGCACACTCCAATAGTACGGGCGTCAGGGTCGGGATGGAACCCACGACCTCCTGCATGCCAGGCGAGAGAGTGAACATCTCGCCGCCTCCACGGCACCATATAGACTTGGTCCCGGCCACGGTAATGTCGAACTTCCAGTTGGTGTGCAAGACTCCCAGCAGAGCAGTGACCAGAATCTGAGTTGTCAATAATAATATTGATTATGATGATGGTCGTTATCCACGGTGAGGCCGACTGAGACCTGCATTGGTGAACAATTCCTTCAGACGGGGAGGGGGGAGGGGGTTGGCTTTGCCTTGTGCGGGAGGGAACCTGGGTCCCTGAATGCCATTGGTTACTGATTTGGCTCTTGCACCTTGGCTTCAAGGGTCAGTGTACACTCCTAAGTGGGTTATGATTACATAAATTAGTTTAGGGAAAACTTAAGTAGATTTGCGTTGCCGATGAAAATATTGATTAAATAGAGAACAGCATGTTTTGTTCCCGCATTAGGCTGCTGTCTTTAAACATACCATCAGCCCGCCTTGCCTAAAACAATGTCAATCTGTATTGACATTTTTGAGGAAAGCACATCAAGCTTAACTAACTCATGAAGAAGTGGCAGAACAAAGGGAATCTGCTGAATGAGTAGTTGCGCACACGCTTAAAACATCATTAAGAGGAAATTGAATGGGCCCTTGCTGGTTCTGGGAGAAAACAAAGATCCCCATATAGCCTTAAGAGACTGTTGGGGCAAGTGCGGTTTGCGAGCAGCACCTATGAAGGCCGGCACGGCACACGAGGGGGCAGGTGGCCAGCACCACACCCGGCCGCCTTTGTCTCCCCAGTGGCGATGTTTACACACCGCACCAGGTCCTCATTTGGGGCCGAGTCGACCTAGGGGAGGCTCAGGACCGGTTCAGACAATCGTGACCGGTGGTGGCCGTGAGCGGGAATCGAACTTGGGTCGCCGGGTTCGTAGCGCTAACCGCTGCGCCATCGCTCCCCAGAAGGAGGTTTTCTAACCGCGGATGAAAGAGGAGGTCGCGGAAAGATGATGGGCACCGGCGTCACGCCGTTGCTGGCATCTTTGTCAGGACATATTTTCCTCATCATTGGGCTCTTGAAGAATCCATCGTGAGCCCGCCATGCGTGTGCCCGCAGGTGTGCTTTGACTGTGGCGCTAAGAACCCAAGCTGGGCGAGCATCACGTACGGCGTCTTCTTGTGCATCGACTGCTCGGGCACCCACCGCTCGCTGGGCGTGCACCTCACCTTCATCCGGTATGGCACCTCACCATCACACCGTACCTCACTATCACACCGTACCTCACCTCACCATCACACCTCACCTCACCTCACCATCACACCTCACCTCACCTCACCATCACACCTCACCTCACCATCACACCGCACCTCACCATCACACCGCACTGCATCTGCTTGTGTGAGTTGCACTGACGTGTGACATCCCCTCTCTCTGGCAGGTCCACGGAGCTCGATTCAAACTGGACCTGGTTCCAGCTGCGATGCATGCAAGTGGGCGGCAATGCGAACGCGGTGAGGGCTCGCGGGCTCGTACACATCCGGACACAACGTGCCCGCCTCCGTCAGAGTCTTGGGCGTGGTCCGCATCATACCAAAGACAAATGTCCCCCTTATAACCTTTAACGGACTGTTGGGGCAAATGCGGTTTGGGAATAGCACCGATGAAGGCCGGCAGTGGTGCACGAGGGGGTGGGTGGCCAGGGTTTGTAGCGCCCAAACCGCTGCACTACCACCCCCCATCGTACAAAGACAACCAAGACCCCCAGTAAAGCCTAAACAGACTGTAGGAGCAAGTGCTTTTAGCGAGGGGCACCTATGAAGGCCGGCACAGCACACACGGGGGTTTGTCGTCATACACGCGCACAAGCACACGCACACATGGAGTCTGTGATAGTAATCATAATCATTTCAACTGGTACCGCGTCGCAGAGTGTTCTCTCTGGGCTAGAGAGAACCACAGACAAGCCAGGAAGCAGCCACACGGTGAACCAGTGAGTGCAAAAATGTTAAGGTGCTATCGGCCAAGGAAACCGGAGTGCCCGGAGACAACCCATACGGTCCACATTTTTTTGTACCACTTTCCCCTGGCGAGCCCAGGGTATGATTGGCTCCTCCTCGACGCCCAAGGAAAGGGAGTTTCACAACATCTGTGCGGAGATCCGCCAACCGTCGCTGCCTCCCCAGTGCCGGTTTATAGGCCACATGCGTAGACCGCCACCGCCTGGCTGACACTTGGGCTGTAGTGCTCAAAAATAACACACGTGCGTGCAAACACAAAAGACAAAGATCCCCCCGTGTAGCCTTTAACAGACTGTAGGGGCAAGTGCTGTTAGCGAGTCGCACCTGTGAAGGCCGGCACGGCACACGAGGTTGGTGGGTGGCCAGCACCACGTCCGGCAGATGAATACCGTGTAACGGCCGATTCGAATTTTGCCACGAGTGTATCAGCTGTGGTAACGTCGCTGCTTGCTTCATGGCATTGTCACGCGTCGCCGGCTCCGTCGCTGGCCGTGCTGACTGCACGCGTGGCTGTGCGCGCTTGGGGCCGTGCGATGACGTTTGTGCACCGCGCGCCGCTCACGCAGGGCACGTTCTTCTGCCACCACGGCTGCACTACGACGGACACCAACGCCAAGTACAACAGCCGCGCCGCCTCGCTCTACCGCGAGAAGATCAAGGGGCTGGCGAACAACGCGCTGCGCACACACGGCACGGACGTAAGACGCGCAGCACCGGCTTGAGACTTTGCCGGACAGGACGGTGAATGTCGGTGGTTTCTCACCTTAAAAGAAAAGCAGAATGCGTGTGGATTGTTTATCAATATTGTTATGAACACTTTCCCATTCCGAACGGAATCTTTTGATTCCATAATGCAGGTTTTTTTGGGTTAGATCGCGTGAATGTATAAATGTGTCGTTAAACCCGCCACCACCCGACACGGCCAACTAGTAAGGGTTGTCACGTAAACAGAACGTGCCAATTCATTACTAGTACAGCACTAACCGGTGTGTTGGAGAGCCAAGCCACAACATTTACAATCCGAGTACGACGTTTCGCCAGTAATTACAACTAGCTTCATCAGGCGACAGCCACATTTCTGATTACATTCCATTGCAAGGCCATGCGGGAGGGAGTGTGGCACAGTTTGGTGCCGGATATCGTAGGGTTGCGGTCGTGTTGCTACGGTTCTCCGCGGTGAGTAACGACGTCTTTAGAACACCGGCGCTACTACGCCTCTCTAAACAAAAAATATACGCCGAGCCGCTCGCACGTTCCGAGATTGAGGGGTGATTGTGACTCCCGCCCTGCGACTAACAGATGTCTCGGAATGGTAAAGGGTTAATAGTCATCGCAGCGTGTCTGTCCGCAGACGAACGCTGGGCTGTGCTCATTTCCACCACTGGCCCCCCTGAGGAGCCAGTGGTGGAAATTTCACTTTGTTTTAACAAAGGCCGGCACCTTCCACAGGATAGGCGCTGTTGACTTCCCACAAAGTGGTACTCGCTTTATTGACCCTGGAGGGATGGTTGAGCTATGTATGTGCGTATGTTGAACTTCTTTCGCACCGTACGTAGCCAACCGTGCTCATCGGAGGTGCAGCTGATTCGACCTTGGACCAGAATTTGACCTTGTAACCTTACAGTTTGCGACACTACGTGGCCAGATATTCTCACGGTTATATCGTTAATGTGTCATGTACTCGTAACGGTTTACACCAAAAGCTTTCCCGCGATGGGGAAAACCGCGACGGGCAGAGTTATGAGCGTATGCGCATATACAGTACACGTATGCATACACAGTACACGTATGCATATACAGTATACGTAGGTCTGCATACACTTTTGTGCAGTATATGTGCGTGTAGTTATGGCCCACTTGGCTGCCGGGGTTATTATATTATTTAGCGCGAGCTGGGACCCATATCTTGTCTCAGTGATCAGTTGTTCCCCCACACCGCCTATTCTCTCGATTGAAAACTAAGTTATTTGGAATTGCTTTTCGTTTTTTTCGTTTTGAGTCCGTCCCCCGCACCTCTGGTTAGCACGGTCGGCTTCGTACGGTGCAGAAGAAGTTCAACGAACATAGCAATGGCAACAACAGCCATTCGCCACTAAGTGACGGAGACGTCACCACGGCGCCTGTGCCAGGCTAGGTGCACTTTGAGGCCACGTGGAGTGTCGAAGGCTCGCTGACAGGAGAAGGTCACGGGACAGACCCAGCAGGTGCCGTGGGTCGACTGACTGAAATGACGAGCAGATGCACCAGATGTGCCCCCTACTGTATATACATACAAAGACAAAGATCCCCCATGTAGCCTGAACAGACGGTTGGGGCAAGTGCTGTAAGCGAGCACCTATGATGGCTGGCATGGCACACGAGGGGGTGGGCGGCCCAGCACCACGCCCGGCCGCCTTTGTCTTCCCAGTAGCGATGTTTTAACACACCTCACTAGGTACTCATTTGAGGCTGAGTCGACCTAGGGGAGGCCCAGGACCGGTTTAGATCATCATCATCATCGGTGTTGGCTGTGAGCAGAAATCGAACCCGGGCCGCCGGGTTCGTAGCGTCGCGCGCTACCCGCTACACCACCTTGTGTGTGTGTATATATGTATATACACACACACACCAACAACACCCTCTTCTCTCCCTCGGCTCGTCTCTCCACAGCTATGGCTGGATGGCACGAGCACCACGGCGGCCATTACCTCCCCCCAGAAGAAGGAGGCGGACTTTTTTGCGGAGCACACAGAGGTGGGTGCGATCGACTCGTGCGGTGCGTGTGCGGTCCGTATCGGGGTCGAGTACGCCGCACCGGGGTCAATCCCCGTTCATTCACATCGCCTGCGGCAGTGGGCTTCCCTCTGCCGTCGCCGCGAACGCGTTTTACCCTCGGCACGTAGTGCGGCAGTTCGCCGATCTGGGCCTGGTCACCGATTGCACAAACGCGCACACACACAAAAAGTACATTTTGGTTTTGCAGGTAATTTGACAAACATTCCGGGTCTGATGATTGAAAGAAAAACCACGTGGCATTTTGGTTGGGCTGCCTGGCAACAAACAAAGCAGCAAGGCACGTTGGCCGCTGCAGATATTCTCCCGTTGTTACTTGGTCACTTGGGGGGATCTCGCAAGTAGGTCTGTGATCTCCTTTGCTGAGCTGCTCCCTCACGTTAGCCACTGCCCTGCAAGTAGTTCTGTGACCAAAGCTAAAAAGAATATAAAAATGATGCCGTTAGCTGGTACACACCTCGGTATTGCTCATTGCAGACCTTATGTTAAGGGTGAAGTGTTCTTGCCAGTACGATGGCTAACGCGTTATGCTGCGGCTGCTGTGCGCCTGCGTGTGCAGCACACGTGGGAGAGTGAACCAGCCCCGAGCGTGCCCGCCCTCATCTCAAACCCAGCCGGAGCTGCTCTCTCCCCCGACAAGGACGACAGTGAGTTGGGAGTCCGCGAGCCGATCATCGATCGGTGGCCGGGCGCTCGGACGACTCATGATGCCAGAGCAATGGGTTGGATCGATTCCGGTTCCTGCATTCGAATCTGGGCACTCACCTGTGTGATGCCATCACACAGATTGATAGTATCAGGTGACCGAATCAGGTGACAGTGTCACAGGTGACAGTGTCACAGGTGACTCTGGGCCATCACCTGTGTGATGCTATCGTATCCGCGAGTGTGTTCTGTTTCATAGTCTTAGCCTTGGCACCAAACACCGCGCAGGATAACACTAAATACACAGAGCATTCCGTAAAAATATAAATGTGCCGTGAAAACTCGCCACCACCCGACACAGCCAACTAGTTAGGGTTGTCACGTAAACAGAACGTGGCCAAGTCGTTACTAGTACAGCACACCGGTGTGTTGGAGAACCAAGCCACAACATTTGCATGTTATGTGCTGTACTAGTAACCAATTGGCATGTTCTGTTTACTTGACAGACCTTACTAGTTGGCTGTGTCGGGTGGTGGCGGGTTTAACAGCACATTTATATATTTACGCGATCTAACCCAAAAAACCTGCATTATGGATGATATTGGTCACGAAAGCCGACGTGTTAAACTGACTTAAACTACTTTTGTGCCCTCACATTGTAAGGAAATGCCGTACCGCGTCATGACGACGACTCGGACGGGCGCCATGAAGCTTCGGTGTATAACGCTCGCTGCGAGAAGCGGTAATGATAGAAGAGTTTTAACCACTGAAGCTTTGCGTTTTCGTCAGGTGAGCCAGAGAGGGGCCCGAGCGTGGATCACCTGGGCACGTCCCCTAAAGCTGCGACCATCGGTAATGCGCGGGACACGTGCTCGCACACAGACACACGCCGCGGCACGGGGTGGTGGAGTGTGTGCGTGCGGGCGCCACCGCCAGCCCTGTGCCACACGCCAAACGCGTCCGGTTCAGGCTGGCCGACCGCGCACTCCAATTACCGCTGCAGGGAACCAGTTGGCGCGGCGGTGAATGAAGAGAATCTGCCTGGCAAAGGGCGCGGATAGTATTTGACCTGCTGAATGCTGGGAAACTTTTCTGCTGCCACCCATTTATTTATTTGCCCAAGAAAATCCATGGCGAACAATCTTATTTTTCACAGGATCCCCGACAAGTTACGTTTCCACCCAATTTTTATTTTCTACGTTTTTAGTTTTTATCGGCAGGAACGTACGACGCTCAGAGAAGTCCCGTCCAGGTGCAATGAGAGCCCTGCTCAGCGATTTTGCGCATCTTCATGCAGGACAACAACAGACGCGACATTTCTTCAAACCGTGGCCAAATTGATTTCAATATATCGATCAATGTGGCGTAGAAATGCATTTCACTGCCCGTGCGCAGTGAGCAAGCATCACGGGCCTCACACCAATTTCTATTGGTATCTTTACGGTTTGAAAGTCTCAGCTTACTTTGCGAGAGTACGACAATTGTCTATCGCTGTCCGGGCCTACGTTTAGAACATTCCTTTGCGAGTTCCGTCGTAAAGTACAGATGGTTTGGCCACACACGGGGGTATGCCTCATGACGAGAGATATTTGAATTTTCAACGTGTTTTTTTTTGCTTGGCTACCTCTAGGGATGTGACGTAACCGTTTGTGTCTCTCACCTGTAGCTGATTGTGAACGATTAGGTGGCAGCGCCGCTTCGCCAAGGAAAGGTGACCGGCCTTCCCAAAGCAAATGCCCACCATTTTAATTGGCTCTGTGATTCACACAAAATGTGGATGTAAATGTTTAATTTTTTTGTTTGCTTTTCCTGTCTTAACCGTTTTATGATCTGTTCTTGCAAGATGTGCATGCCGTGCATGAGTGGATGCTGGGTGAAACAAAATTATTAACTCGTTTTTACCAGCGAGATGCCATGCATAGCTCAATTGGATGAGCACCTCCGTCCCCGATAATCCCTAGCACAGAACTGAACATCAATCAAATGAGATATTCTCTATGCCAGGATTTCCCAAACTCCAATCCTTGTAACGCACCACCATGCCACCTCGTTTACAAATTTTGTCCTACCCATTCAAATACAAGCTAACTCGTTCCACACGCTTTACGCGCCGGATGATTGTTAAATAAGGCCCCCACGTGACGCGCTTAGTAATTAACGCTGCCCTCTTCACGCGGATCACGAGCGCACACACACCCACGCGGAGATCTCGGTCTTAATTTGAGTCGGCTCTCTATTAACGCAGGCAGCGTTCATTTCTCAGCACGTCACGTGGCACCTACAGACGTAGCATTGTTGAACTTTATTCTCACTGTACGTAGCCAACCGTGCTAATAGGAGGTGCAGGGGAAGGGCAAAAACTAAACGCAACAAGCAGGTCTTAAAGAAATTAGGTTTCAATGTGATTGTTTAACAATGATTCTTTAACAATCGTTGGGCACGAGCAGCGTGGGACAAGTTCATTTTTACGTAAGTGGGGTGTAAATTGATGAACGCGAAAAGACGGAGTGTGGGGTCGCGAGCACTGGAGTTTGAGAAACCCCCCTCCATACGCAGTTGCCCTTGGCATAGAATTGCAGACCAAACAAGGCATTTGTTGCCTCTTCTACAATGCCGTACGTGGAATTTGGGACCAATCGCCAAAGAGTGTCTTGAACTCGCAGTGTCCTGCACAGGATTCGAGCTCTGCGTGACTTCCTGTGCCCCCGATCGTCTGCACGGGATTATGGAGCAATGCCATGAGAGATTCTCCAGCCAGGGTCGGGGGGTGAAGGAGCAAATTGAACAACACCTTTGGCATCCCCGGTAGCGGCACAGCAGCCCTGTGTGTGGCGCAACAGATTGGCGCTTCCTGACTGTGAAACGGCAAAACTTTAAAATAAATGACCAGCGAGGAAAACGTATGTATACAAGCGCAGTCACGTAACCTTCGCTCTGCTTGGCGACACAACCGTTCTCCATGACTCCTGCTTAGCAGAGCCTCCAAAGAGCTGCGCGCGTGGGGTAGGGGAGTTGTCAGCCGGGAGTGGCGATGTGTAGAGCCAGAGGCTCCACTTGTCGCTGTCCACAGCGAACACAAACTGGCTGCAGTGGGTGCATCAAAGTGCCTGCATTGTCAGCTCAGATCGAACGTTGCCAACGAGTTTTAATTGGGGCGCCACGGTGGCGAAATGTTATCGGCCTCGCCTGGTATGCAGGAGGGGGTCGTGGCTTTTATCCCGACCCTGACGCCTGCTGCTGTATATTTGGAGTGTGCGTGTTCTCCCTGTGGTGGTGTGGATTTTTCTCCGGGCCCTCCGGTTTTTCCCTCCACATTTAGAAACGTGCGCTTTTGAGTATTTGGCTGCTGTAAATTTCCACGCGATAAGCCGCTTTGTTGGGCTATCATTTGTGGCCAGGTCGTTTCTGAAATAGAGCGAAATAGCTCAGTGGACCATCCCTGCTACAATCTAAATTAGTTTAGTTTAAATTGCTAAAATAATCAATTTTTAAAGGGTGCGGTCGCTCCGTATGTCCCAAGGGGGGGATCCCAATACAGAATTCGTCTCCTGTCTCTCGGTGTGTGTGTGTGTGCGTGTTCCATTATCCCTTAAGCCAATTAGTGTGCGTGCTCTCACAGGAGTGAACTTTTTTTCTTTCCACGTTTTTCCTGGCCCTGTTTCGGGTGCTGTGTTGATGATGTTAACAGGCTTTCGCACGTGAACAACGCGTGTGCCCCATTAACCCTCTTCACTCGCAGGCAGCCAGTGAAGTGGTGCACGGTGTGCTAGCACGAGTTAAAAAGTGCACGGTTACATTTGGTTCATTCTACTCGGGGCGTACCCAAAGGGAATCCTATTCACCGTAACTACGTGGACCAATTGGCATTCGTTTTTCTCAGCCACCCATTGGTTCATTTACTGGATGTCTGTGAGTAAAAGAGCTTCGAAGCTCATCGGATTCCTCCAGCGGGCTAAATAAAGATTCTGATTCGGACCTCCCTCCGCTTTTACCCCCACCGTATTTTCATTCATCTATAACCACAGATATTTTAAATTTATTCAGCAGCATTTTCCATGCAGCTTTTTGGATAGCAGTGTAAGGATTCACCTCCCCATTGTTATTTGATTGATTGTTAAGACTTAAACATTGTGGTCACTATTCCGTGTGAAATATATAGATAAATATATGAATTGAAAACATCGATTCTTGTGCTCGTGATTTGCGTGGTGTATATTGAGGCGAAGAATCATTAATGGTCGTCGAATATATCTATCCGTTACACCGCTTGAGAAAGAAATGTGTTTACGCAGCCTCGCTGAGTTTCGAACTCTCTTAGGGGAAGGTCCCGCTCAGGATACCCAGTGTGTTCATCGAGTGTTTATCTTAGACAAGGCTGCGTGCGATAACCAGCACCGTCATCACTTTGGGTATGCCCCTTTATGTTGGAAGTGAATTAAAATGTTTTGTGCTTGTGGTCTTCTCATGTTTGTTTTTGTTGTTTTAGAAGTGAAGTCATCGATCGTGTGCAAAAAGAAGCCAGCTTCGGCTAAAAAGGGGGTGAGTGATTTTATGTGCGTACGTGTGCGTGCGTACATGTGCGTGCGTACGTGTGCGTGCGTACGTGTGCATGCGTACGTGTGCGTGCGTACGTGTGCGTGCGTACGCGTGCGTATGTGTGCGCTCGTATAGCGGTTAGCGCGCCGCGCTACGAACCCGCCCACCCGAGTTTGATTCCCGCTCACGGCCAACACCAGTGACTGTTATCTAAACCGGTCCTGGGCCTCCCCTACATTGACTCAACCTGAAATGAGTACCAGGTGTGGTGTGTAAACATCGCCACTGTGGAGACAAAGGCGGCCGGGTGTGGTGCTGGTCACCCACCCCCTCGTGTGTTGTGCCGGCCTTCATAGGTGCTCGCTAGCAGCACTTGCCTCAACAGCCTGTTAAAGGCTATACGGGAGATCTTTGTCTTTGTGCGTCACCGTGCATTAATGGGTCCCACCATAATTCCACCGCCGGTAAAGTTAACGGCTTTATCAGCCAGCGGGCGGAATCGAGGGCACGGTGAAACCACAAGGCCGTGCCGGCTCTCCCACAAAGTGGCCCCACACACTTTCAGCTCCGCGCGACGATGACGCTGCTGCCATCACTCGACCGCACGGCACGTGAAAAAGTCTGATGAACGCCGTCAATACGTGTGTCGCTTGCGCTCTTTCGATTTGTGGCCCGTGTCCCACGCGTGTTGCCAGTGGTCAATTGATGAACGGCCTCTAATTAGTCAGTCAATGGAGCTTAAAATGAGAAACAGATGGTATGGCAATGGATATTGTGCTTCCACCACCACCACCGCTAAGAACCAAGCTTACCCCCAATGTCCACGTTAAAAAGAGATCTCTTGTGTGTTTTTTTAACAGGTGCACGCGTACTCTACGTGCATGCCTGATTGTGCATGGGTGCGTGTGTGTGTATGTATCGGGCGTGGTGTTGCTGGCCACCCACCCCCTCGTGCGCCGTGCCGGCCTTCATCGGTGCTGCTCGCTAACAGCACTTTGCCCCAGCTGTCTGTGAAGGCTACGCGGGGGATCTTTGTCTTTGCGTGCGCCACAGATGGGAGGGGTGCGTAAGACGGGCGGCCTCGGCGCCCAGAAAGTGAGCGGCCAGATGTTCAACGAGTGCGAACGCCAAGCGCAGGCGACGGACCGTCAGTGCGAGCAGCAGCACCAGCAGCAGCAGCACCAGCCGGAGGACGACTCGATGTGAGTGCGGAGGGGCGGGCAGCTTGGCTGCAGGGGCGCTGATGATCGCAACTCATGCAGACGCAGATGTGCCGCCCCTGGTAACTGATTAAATTAACGAGCGGAGAGTACATTACGCCTGCTTCCCCCATAGCTTCCCCTTCACATATTTTCGTTTACACATCCCATCAACCACACTGCTGTCTGGAAGTGAGCCATGTCAGAGGCGGGATGGTGAAACTGCCCGATGCCACAGGCAAGGACGCCTGCCTTGTCTGTTGGACGTGGGTCCGAGTTTCCCAGAATGCATGGCTCAACGGAGAGCGCGATTGCTGATCAACACAGATGCACGGACGAACACGCGCACACACAACGGATGCACACGTGAAAGCGTATAAATGCACGGATAGCTAGTCAATGCAAAGTGGTGTTTGATCATTGTTGATTGTTACTTGCTGATTTACGGTTGATCGTAATGAATGTCACGTGGCAGGATGTCGGGGTGGCCACCGTCTTTTTATTATTTTTACTCAGTTGATCAGCTTTTCATTGACCGACTGTCCCAGCCCGAATGCTAAGCTACACGTGAAAGTCTATTTGTGTGCACTTGTGTCCTCTAGTATGCGAGTGCGTGCCTGCGTGTATGTGTGCAACAAAGAGCGCGGAGGCAACGGTTAGCGCTACGCTCCGCTGCTTACCCGACGACCCGAGTTCGATTCCCGCTCACGGCCAACAATGAGTACCTGGTGCGATGTGTAAACATCGCCACTGGGGAGACCAAGGCGGCCGTGCGTGGTGCCAGCCACCAACTTCATAGGTGCCACTCGCTAGCAGCACTTGGCCCAGCAGTCTGTTCAGACTATAGCGGGGTATCTTTGTCTTGGTATTTTGTGCGTGCACTTGTAATGATATGTGTGTGTGTAAACGCGTCCACATCGGTGCGCGCGTGTGTGTGTGCGCGTGTAAGCAGGGTGACGTCCATGCGCCTCGCCTACCAGGAGCTGGAGCTGCAGCGCAAGAAGGAGGAGGTGAAGCTGCAATCAGCCGACGGCAAGAAGCGGGCGCAGGCGGAGCGACTGGGCATGGGGCTCGGCGCGCGCGCGTACGTACACACACACACACGAACACACGCACGTACACACGCACACACGTGCACACTAAGCACGCACGTACGCACGCACGTACGCACGCACGTACGTACGCGCATACGCATGCACGCACTTCCGATCAGCACGGTTGGCTACGTACGGTGTGAAAGAAGTTCAACATACATATGTAAAGACAGCGGTGACAGCAGAAAAGAGAGTTTGAGAAGGGAAGGCGGCACCTATGGCGGGGTGAGGTTCACGCCGAGAATAAGAGAGAGGGAGGAACGAGGTTCGAGGCTGTTTGGCAGAGATTCGGGTCGTCGCTGGTTGCCGTCTCGTCGTCGCCGCTGCTATATCGTGACGCCGGGGTCCGAAGCCGCCTTCAAGGCTAAATAAGTCCGGAGCCATTGCACACACACGCACACACGCACAGACGTACGTCCACGAACCGCGTGGCGCGTGCTCACCGCGTCGCGTTGTCTCGGCGCAGCGGGATTTCTCACTCGGTGGTGGAGGAGATGAAGACGATCGAGCAGGAGGCGCCCTCCGTCTCGAAGGCCAAGGGGAAGTTTGACCCCTTCGACGACGCCGGCTTCACCTCGGGGCCCCCCAAGTGAGGCTCGCCCCGTACGCGCACGCGGGCATCGCATCTCCGCACACACACGCGGGCGTCACATCTCGGCACGCACACACGTGGGCGTCGCATCTCTGCACACACACGCGGGCGACCGCATCTCCGCACACACACACGCGGGCGTCACATCTCGGCACGCACACACGCGGGCGTCGCATCTCCATACGTACGCAAACCTGTCCGCCATGTGGTGCGTTCTCACCGCGTCTAGACCTTGGAGACACAACGACTTTATTGCCATTCACAATCGATTTTCGGGGTCAAATCGTGATCGCGTAAGTAAAATGTGTGTAGTGCACCCTCCCCACACACCTGACAGCCCATGAATGATGTCCCCGCGATGAACAAACGTGGCCCCGTTTGACTATTGCTTCGGCAGCACCACCCGTGCCTCGCTGTTGGAGAGCAATTCACAGCATGGAGAACGACGTTAGCGCCGGTAGCTATGGCCAGCACCATCGGGCAGTTGTGCCGGATTATCTCAGTGCGGTTGCACCGCAGCGAATGTCTGTACACGGGAATCCGCCCACACCTGCGCCCGCCCCTGCGCCCGCCCCTGCGCCCGCCCCGTATTCCGCGCGTGCGCTCGCAGGTACAGGGACAACCCGTTTGCGCTGAGCGACAGTCTGGGTGGGGCGAGCGGCGGAGGCGGCGGAGCCCGGGGCTGGGGCACGGATGACTCCGGCGGGGATGGAGGCTGGTCCTTCCTGGACCGCGAGGAGGTCACCGAGGTCAACCTGAGCAGCCAGAGCGGCCGCTCGATGCGCCAGACGTCCTCGGACCGGTGAGCGCGCTGGCCACAGGGGGGCGGCCCCGGCACCCGCCGGACTTCGCGTTCTAAACCGCCCGCTGGCGGAGGCTGCGTTTGTTTGAGCCCCGCCGCTCAGCTGCGGCGGCTCACGCTCAGCGGCATCGTGAACGCCGCCTTCGCGACAAAGCGGCCTCGCCCCGGACAGAGATGTTAACTGCCTCACCTGGTATGCGGGAAGTCGTGGGTTGGGTTCCAACCCTGACGCCTGCTGTATATTTCGAGTTTGCGTGTCTTTCTGCCTGTGATCGCGTGGGTTTCTTTCCGTGTTCTCCAGTTTTTTCCTCCACATTTAGAATCAACGTGTCAGAGTAGTGCATTTGGCTGCTATAAATTTCCGCATGATAAGCCATTGCGTTGAGCAATCATTTGTGACAGACAGGTCACTTCTGAAAAATAAGTTAATGCATCAGTGGGCTTTGTCTGGTTGGATGGGGATGGTTTAGTTTCATTGGTATGTCTTTGGATGATTTGTTTACTTTTCTTGTACTTTGCACGGCTATCGTGTCTTTGTATTGTTTGTTGTTGTAACGTTCTTACGGTCACTTCTGGAAAAGAGATAAATCGCTCGGTGGGCCTTACCGGGTAAAATAAACAAAAGGTTATATTATTTTAATCTCAGACTTCCTCTCCGCACGGCTTCTGAACCTTGACCCCTCCAGCCCGACCAGCCGGCGCAAGGCGGACACTTCGGAGGCGGCCGGCCCCGCGCCAACGTCGGACGAGGCGCAGAGGAAGTTCGCCAACGCGCGCGCCATCTCGTCCGACATGTTCTTCGGCCGCGACGAGAGGGCGGAGGTCAGGCAATGGGGGGGTGGGGGGAGGGCGGGCCACTCGGGAGTTTATTAAACACTCATTTTGTGCGTGGAAAGCCGTCCCCTTGTTTGCGGGCTCGTTCATTGTACTCCTGCATCTGCTTGGGGCATGTGATGAACTTGTGACGCGCACCTCTGCTCCTATACACGCGCATGTGAATAAGTGCAAATGTGCGTTCCCTTAAGACACAGATGCACATTTGAGTCAAATGTTCGTTTCTATACGTGCACTCGGGGATTTACGTATATTTACACACGCTCACTCTTCTGTATGTAAATACAACAACACCTTGGAAAGGAGTGGGCAGTGGCATGCACACAGGTTCATGGTCTGTCTTGGTTCATCCCTGTTTTGGGTCTCACGCAAACAAGGGTGCGGCTCTCTGTCATTTTCCCTTAGAGAAATCGACCACAATGAAAGTCTTGAATGTATTTATGTTGAACTTCTTTTGAACCGTTCGGACAGAAGCTACACAAAAAGTAGTCCTAAAGAAATGAGTTTCCAATCTAGATTTAAACGTGCAGAGCTCCAGTGGCTTCCTAATATCAGAAGGGAGAGCGTTCCAGACGGCCGCAGAATCGTATCTCTGTTCGATGGCTTTAGCCAAAAGCCGCCGCTGCGAGGATGACCGGAGTTTGCGTGATGGTTTATGCTCCTTGACGAGATCAGCAAGGTATTGAGCGAGTGAGAGAGAGAGAGAGTGTAATAGTGCATGAGTGTGAGAGAGAGAGAGTGTTTAGTGCATGAGTGTGAGAGAGAGAGAGAGTAATAGTGAATCAGTGTGAGAGAGAGTGTAATAGTGCATGAGTGTGAGAGAGAGTGAGTGTAATAGTGCATGAGTGTGAGAGAGAGAGAGTGTTATAGTGCATGAGTGTGAGAGTGTAATAGTGCATGAGTGTGAGAGTGAGTGAGTTTGCGAGCGTGAGAGAGTGAGTGAACGGGGAAGGCCCTTCCAAGGAGCGTCGGTTTTGTCCGCGTGTCCGTGTGTGCTCCGCTCAATTAAAGTTTGACCCAGATCTCTCCGTGCGCGCTCTATAACCCCTGACTCTGGCAGGATGACACACGTGTCCGTCTGGAGAGCATGCAGGGCAGCTCGGCCATCAGCTCGGCTGACCTCTTTGGCGACAAGAAGCACGACTCCAACGGTAAAGGCCGAAGACGCAACGTCGCCTCAACGTCGTCGACGAGCAAACTGAACCTCTTTCCCAAACGATGTCAGAATCAGAATCTTGATTTAGACTGGAGGAGGAATCCGATGAGCTACGAAGCTCTTGTTATCACGGATGTGCGGTTTGCTGCCCCGTCCAGGCCGCGCAGTGTCATCGTCGCACAACCCCGTAGGGACCCTTTGTTTTCAGTCGGGGAAAAGGCTCAAAGTAACGCGTAAGTTTAACGATGCGTCCAGGAGGCGTGCGTTGTAAGCACCTAAACATCTCTCGGCCTTGTGCAGACCGCTGGCTCCACAAAGTGCCGCACGCGTGGGAACGTTTTGTCATTTTGGACCACCAGCTCGCCCGACCAAAACGGGCAGCGCTGAAACAGAGATGCAGCTGTAGACCGGTTTCACCCTTATTGGTACTCGTCAGTGCCGTCGTTGGCGTTCGCTGCTGCTGTATGCCTCCGGGAGCCTCCAGGAGCCTCGTACATGGAGAGGGTTTCCCTTTATTGCTCGTGGGGAGCCGTTAACTTGCTCAGAATAAGCGCTGCGCATGTGGCCAGAAGTGTGCGTGTTGTCCTGCCACACGGTACTTCATGGTTTGAAGTCCACATTCCAGTCCTGATTTATTAAGCCGGCGATTTTGAGTACAGGTGTGCAGTGCACACCCAAAGTAGCTCTCGCAGTATTGGCAGCTTAGATATTTCATAATTCTGAGCAGACTAATTGTGGTTTTGCTTATTTCACAATAATCTTTTCCCCCGTGTTCATGCGATTGCCCCTACGATGTGTGCGGCAGTCTTAACACCCCCCCGCTCGCATTTCCATCAAACGGCTTCACCTCCCTCCGCCTCCCCGCCATCCATGTGTTGTGTGGCCAGGCTTGAGTCGCTGGTTGCCGAGTGCACTAGCCCCCCCCGCCCCCTCCTCCCCCCACCCCATCCTCCTCCCGCTGCCCCCTCCTCTGCCCCCCCCCGCCCCCTCCTCCTCCCGCTGCCCCAGCAGTCTTTGCGTGAGACTTGTTGTTGTCCTTGTCGTCGTGCAGCGTCGATGGGCAGCGCGCTTCCAGTGGCTCCGGACATGGCGCAGTTCCGCCAGGGCGTCCGCACCGTCGCCGGCAAGCTGAGCGTGCTGGCCAATGGGGTCATGACCTCTATACAGGTGCGGCACGAACGCGCTCGCGCAGCAACTCGGGACGACGCGGACGTCGAGTTTTGAGCACGCGTGCCCACGGCGCTCCGTGAGTGCGACTCGTCGCCGCGCAGCCGTGAGCACTTGCCGCTCTCGCCGGAGAAAAGATCGACGCCGTTTTGGCTCGGGTAGTTTTGGGCAAGTGCTGGCCCCGGTGAGCATCGCGTGCCGTTTGCGATCGCCGATCTGGTGGGAAAGCAACGGGGCAGCTCATAGACCGCTTTTGAATGTGTTGGTATGGCATCGACAAGGCTCGATTATTGCAACTCGCTCCTCTACGGGGACGTCCGGTGTGGCCACTTACGTTGGTGATGTTGAATAAACAGAAGTATTCGCCCGTTGTGTTGTCTCCCACCGCAGGATCGCTACGGCTCCTAATAAATGGGCGCAAGTTGCAAACGGAAAAGAAAATTTCTGGACGCAGAAGGTCGTCTTAAGTCCACGGAACAGACGCTCTACCACACCCCGCCACTACTAAACTACGTCGCATTATACCACTGCACTGCCAAAGCACACGCCTCTACGCCACACCGCCCCGGGAGTCGTCGTGCTGTCCGGCTAGATATTAAATTGGGCCTGCTGCACCTCCTTTAGTCAGCCCGCTCTCGACTAACGCGTTAGCCTCGTTAACCGGGAACACGTATGGACACGTTAAGAATACCAGCCACTCGCAGTGCAATTCACATGCTGATTTCGTTTTCAAGACGCGCTCTGCGCATATTGTTAAACCGTTAACTTCACTTCGACTTTCAAGATTACTTTGACCAGGTGAGAATCCAAGAGACCAGGGGTAAGTCCCATCGGCAAGAGTGACCCCGGGGTCGTCCCAGTGACGACTTTATCCACGACCTGTCAAGCCTGCGGAGATGTTCACTTTTGCTATTTTCTCGGTCCTTCACAGCAAGGCCTCGGCACATGGCGGAGGAAGTCGCGACTTTAAGTCATGCGATCACCGTCGGCCCTCTGTGCTTAAGAGGGGGGGGGGGGGGGGATATTCACAGCTGTCAAAAGAACTAAACTTCAGCATTTGCACCGTTTTCTTTTGGAGGGAGTTGGAGACTTTGCATGTTAACTTTACACGAAATAAAGTAAATTAAAAGATTGATAATTCTTAGCTTTTTTGCCACCCTCCCCGATAACACAATGTTTTTGTTTGTTTCAGAATGTCCGTTCTTAATTTGGTGTACATCGCAACTATGTTAGTTGAGTTTAATAATCGAGCTCCGTGGAATAGGAACTTTTTTTTTCTTGTACCTTCCAGATGCTGCGTTCGGCATTGTTCAGCGGGGGGGAGTCTCATCCCCTGTCGGTTGTGTGTTGAAGGCCGCTTTCGTGATAATGGAACACAAATGTAATTATGACGTGCGCCGTTTTAGCGCGGCTCGAAGGTGGCGGTGTAAAACGTTGCATAAATACTCTTACGCTAATATATTGGCCCCGATTACTATTGGTCAAAAAATGTTAGTTTTTGCATGATGTTGTGTTGAGAGAGAAAAGAAACAGCAAAAAAGATTTTTTCTGCCGAAAATATTTTTGTCAAGTTGTGGGGGGGGGGGGCGGTCTTATCGGGCATTTTAAATATTGTATCAGATGAGGCGCCGGCAATGGCGTAGCAAGTTTAAGACGTTGAAATCAAGGCCGCAATTTTTTGTTTGTGTCAACTTCACTCAACCTGACTCAAAGGTGTCGTGCCAACGAGACTTCACCATCTCGCCTCATTGAGGCCTCCGCCTTGATTCGCATGATCTCGGCGGTCGCTCAATGCGCTTTACTGCAAGACTCGAGCGCGATGAAAGGATTGCCGTGTCGGTCGAGAGTAGATTTTACGCTGACAGTTTTTGTTTAATCAAGTCGCTCTGATTCACTGCTTGATGCAGGCTAGATTTGAGCAATAGATTCACTAATTAATCAATCTACTTGTGAATTAAGTGCTTATTTTCAGGACCATAGGATGGAGTTCATCATCTCTACTGTTGGTCCAGAGCTGGCCATGCATGGGAAGCCCAATTTGAAGTGGTATTCCGGTCACTTAACACAACAGCCACATCTAATTCCACGCCGAGCAACATCAGTGCTCGCTTTGCCACCTCTGGACGCACGATGATTCGTGCGAGACGTTCCAAATTGAAAGTGTAACCTGCATCCTTGGTAGTGCATTTCTAACCATGCGAACTCGCTCCACCTCGGACATTCACTTGTTCTTCGATGGCCTGTGTGTGAGAAATCTAAAGTCGCTGGAGGATAAGTTGAGTTGTAACCGAAGCCTTTTCCTGTGCATCTGGTGGCACGCAACAACGACTTCTAAACGGTGCATTAAGCCGCCCGGTTTCTCAAGTTCTGCTTAATTTCGAATGATTGTTTTTTGTTGTTGTTTGCATTTTCATTTGACGACGTTTAAAAGGAACATTGTCAACTTAAATTACAACAGTGTGCTGCGATATGGAAACGCACGTTACCTGCAGTTTTTTTTTTCTCCCAACCGCAAGCTTACAGAGGGGGAGGGTGGGGGTGCAGTGGCTCCACGGGTCAATTGGGGGAATAGTTTCGCCTGTTTGGTGTTGGCGTCGCTTAGAACTTGGACTTGTAATGGAATAAGAAATAAATTAATAAAATAGAGAATGAAAAGGCTCCAATCTTTCAATGGTCTTGCGCTACGTTACCGAGTGTAGTTGTTTTGACTCAAGAGGTATTATCACTGGTCACTGCTTTGTTGCTGGTCTTGCACACTTGCTGAAAGTTCTACATTATGGTGGCAGGCATCAGATCTATCGGGCGCAGCGGTGGCGAGATGTTAACTCTCTCGCCGGGTGTGTAGGAGGCTGTAGGTTCGATCCTGATCCTGACGCCGGTATATTTGGAGTTTGCACGTGAATTGTTCTCCGGGACCTCTGGTTTTTCCCTCCACATTGATGATATAATCAACGTGTGTTTAAGAGTATTTGGCCGCTAAAAATGTCCACATGCTGATTAAGTAGCTACATCGTTGAGCCATCATTTATGGTCAGGTCGCTTCTTAAAAAGCGCTACATAGCTCCTGATAAAATACAAATACTGCAGTAGTGAAATAGGTCAACTGGCTGGTTTCCCATCGATTGGTGCAGGCCTCATTGTGGTGGTCCTCTTTAAACTGGGACGAGAGGGGGGGGAGGGAAGTGATGGGGCTGAGCTGACCCCCATCGGGATTTAAACTCGGGTTTCCGCAATTGCGATCATCAGAGTTACGTCCGGGCCGTGGCTTTAGAATATATATCTGTAGCCAGATCGAGAATTACGTCGAAAATCATTGTTGGCAATTAATATAATTGATGATTGTGAACTTCATCCAAAATTAAGTAAGTCACATGCTCATTACTCTGTGGTTCTTTCGGTAAAGTCACGTAGATAGAAAAAAATAAAATAAAACACGACGTTTCGATCGCAACACAGGTGAGAAAATGATCTGCTGTTGTGGCTTTATATAGGCACGGGAGGGGGGGAGAAAGGGAGGGGGGGAAATAATTTCATGGTCATTGATTACTTCCAGATTCATGTTAACCCTAGACATCGGCTTCCTCAATATAAAACAATCAATACTCTTGGGTCTGTCGGTGAAGTCATTTTTATTAAAAAAAACTACGACGTCTCGATCACAACACAAGCGATCGTCATCAGGAGGAAAGAGGATGACGATCGCTTGTGTAGGGATCGAAACGTCGTAGTTATCATTTTTTGTGATCTTCTTTGAAACCTATCTACGTGACTTAACCGAAAGACCCAAAGAATATGAGATGCAACTTACTAATCCTGTCCGCGTGGCGGCGCACATCTCGTCGGGATGAGCTCCCTTGGGGTCCATCGCGGCTCTCTGTCACAGAGTCACAGCGAGACGCTAGGTGCCATCTCTCACGCAGCCCTTCTCTCCCGCTCTGCTGCTGCTCCTGCAGCCCCACCAACATTTGAGTCGGCAAGCCACCGCGTGTCTGTTGCTCATCACGGCAACAACGCAACTTTGTCCTTGCGATTGCATTAATAAAACCATCTTGACGAGAGTTCGCGTGACCTCGTCTTCGGGATCGCCAGCTCGCCCCATGCTCGTCATTGGGTTGAACATGAAATACTGGACAGTGTACACTTCCCACTGGTCAGTGTTTAAGTGGCTGGCGCAGGGGTCGGGAACCTTTTTGACTGGGAGAGCCATAAAAGCCAAATATTTCTAAATATATTTCATTGAGAGCCATATAGTATTTTTAACGTATAATAAATTAAATATGTCTTACTTTTAATGCGACTTCTGGTGCTGCATGGTTTTGCTGATGGCCTTGTAGTCTGGTTCATACGTGGTGAGGTTGAGCTTCGTGCAGGCGTGACCCGTGAAATGTTATCTTCAAAACTAATTTCTGTTTACTTAAAAATGACACAGTATTATTAAGCAATATCACAAGTATTTTAAAATCAGTTCCAAATTGATTTTTTTTTATATTTTTTCAACTCAAAATTGTCTGGGAGCCATATGCCGTCACTGGAAGAGCCATATATGGCTCGCGAGCCATAGGTTCCCGACCGCTGGGCTAGCGGTTCACCAATGTTGCAACTGCTGTCAATATTTAACTGCACAATAGAGGGTTTTGTTTAGATCGCGTAAATATATAAATGTCGTTAAACCCGCCACCACCCGACACAGACAATCAGTAAGGTTTAGTGTCGCGTAATCAGAACGTGCCAATTCGTCACTAGTACAGCACTAGTGTATAGTGTAGTGTATAGTAGTGTAGTATAGTGTAGTGTATAGTGTAGTGTATAATGTAGTGTACTAGTACAGCAACACCGGTTGTGTGTTGGAGAGCAAATCCACAACATTCACAATCTGAGTACGACGTTTCGCCAGTAATTACAACTGGCTTCATCAGGCTGTCGCCTTACTAATTGGCTGTGTCGGGTGGTGGCGGGTTTAACGACACGTTTATATTTACGCGATCTAACAACAAAAAAAACCCTTTATTGTGGATGGTATTGGTCGCGAAAGCCTTACGAGGTGTTAGATATTTAACTGTTTAGCTTCAACATGTGCACGCGCACCGTATCACGTCTAGGCGAACCGATGTGCTGACATTGTGCGGGGCCTGTAGCATATGCTATAAAGGGGTCCTAAATTAAAAAAAACCCCACAAATATTAAAACACATTTTTTACTTGCATAGTAAAGTCATTAATTTTTTTCATTTTTTATCCTACCAGGTAAAAGCCCAACTTGAGCTACGTAGCTCTTTTTCAGAAGCGACCTGGTTATCACAAATGACAGCTCAACGAAGTGGCTTATCGTGTGGAAATATATAGCAGCCAAAGACTCTAAACTCACATTGATTCTAAATGTGGAGGGAAAAACCGGAGGATCCGGAGAAAAATCCACGCGACCACAACGAGAAAGAGACACCGCAAACTCCAAATATACAGCAGCAGGCGTCAGGGTCTCGATCGAACCCACGACCTCCTGTACACCAGGCGAGGTAGTTAACATCTCCTCGCCACCAAGCAGTGCTGGACCAGCTCCTTGACTCGAGCATTACAGAGTAGATGATTCACCCAAACGTAGAATACAATTTGGACTTTAACCTTTTGATCTTTAGATGTGTCATGCTCATCATTGCAAGTGTAAAGTTAATGGTTTTTGCTCACGTGCACGCCACGTATTTCAGTTTTGTCTGTTGATATATACAGAGACACATCTCAGTCGGTGAAGCGGCTAAAGTCGAGTGCCGGTATGTAATCACTCGTCTCAAACACAGAGACTCTCATCCGTCGTATCAACGTCTCTAAACGTTGTTGCGTTTGCTCACCCTTTTTGCCGACCGAAAATTCGTAAAATGCTGTCGTCAATAGCACCGTGGCCTGAAAGGGAAAATACATCATGGGTCACGTGTCGGGCAGTCGCCCTTCTATGCCAGGGCCATTGCCCGAAACGTCGCCTATTGTTTATTTGTCCTCTCAAGGCCACGGTGTTTGTTATTGATGATTATCTGTGTTGATGTGTTGTTGCGCGTGTGTTAATTGTGCGTGCGCACCACTGCAGCCAACGCAGCAGCGGCTGCATCACCAAATGATGTTTCCTCAAATAATGAATCTTCTCCCAGGAGGAGCGGGGGGGAACGATAGTGGCGCTTCAATGTGACCACTCAGAAATGTCTGGCCACAATATATTTTTAAATTTGATTCGCAACTCGATTTATTCTGATTAGCGCGTACGCTCCCGCAGGTGTTTCTATGCGAGGAAGTCAGCTGCCAACATCCCGAGTAGACCTCCCTGCAGCTCTTAGCAACAATAAAACATTTACAATATGAGACCTCTTTTACCAGTGGCAAAATATAATAGTAGGGTTTTACCCTTTTAAACTGGTACAAAACTGACACCTTTATACAAGGCATCATGTTTGCAATAACCACAACACAAGTAGTCAAAAAATCTTAACAATAAGAAGCAACTCTGATAATGATAATAATATGCACTAATAATATGCACTGTCATTGAACAACATCTCCTCATAGTCCCATCGTAGGCAGAGAAGAGTATTCAGCTTTGAATTGAAGAGGGACATGGAGTCAACAGCATGGATGTCTGAAGGAATTGAAATTGTGGACGATAGTGTGAGCTCAGGAGACATAACGTGTCGCCCCACCTCGGGAAAGGCTGACTGGAGGGTTTCGTGGCGTGAAGGGAGGTGCTGTGACAGTGAGAGGAGTTGGGTCCCGTGCGGGACCTTGAGAAGGGGTGAGGGACAATGTTGAAGTTGATCTGCGATTTGGGTTGAGTTCTGGGTCCAGCGGCTCAGGAGATGGAGAAGACACCGTGGACCCCAGCAGGAAGTGCTACCAGGACGCAGAATGAGATTAGAACTGAAATGCAAGAGGCGACAACGGGTTCATCCACATGCCAATGTTGCTCCAACGTTGGACCGACGTTGGCGTGTTTATTGGGACTGTATAACGGGGACTAAGAACATTTTTTAAGTCGCTTTGGGGGACAACAATAGAACATGGATACATTATCTCTGCGAAAAAGTGGAATTAAATCTTGACATCAAACCGAGCAGGGTGGTTAAAATAGCAAAAAAACCCATAATAGCATTTCAACCCAGGATTATAAATCTCGAAGCTAAACATGAAAAGGGTCAACGTGACGGTCGTCCAACTGTGACGGCTTGAAGGAGGACAGCAGGAGGACAACAGGGCATCAAGTGACAGGGCACAAACTCGCAGCGACGTGTCCCGCAGACACGCGAGGTGGACAGGGCAGACATTCCCAGAGGAAACTGGCATCATCAGGCGGGTTTAACGACACATTTAAATTTACGCAATCTAACCCCCCCCCAAAAAACCCCTCCTCTCTCTATTATTGAGAATAGTGGCCGCGAAAGCCCCCGACTCCTCCGACTCCCACTTCGTGTTAACATTTCTGATGAGTCTCGCACTGCGGTGGCTGTCAATGTGGCCACCAACTCGTGCACGTGGCCACCAGGAGGACCCCTCGGTTGACAAACACACGGAGAGAGAGAGGGGGGTGGTGGTGACGGCGGGGGGCGGGGTTTATATAGATAGGGGCGGAGCTACGCACAATGAGGCGGGGCCTCGCGAGACCCACCCACCAATTGAAAGCGTCGCCTCGCGGGCCTCGCTCCAATTCGCACCAATGGGGAGCGAGCGACGGGGTGGGGGCCTCGGCGCCCCGCCCCCTCGGCGCCCACCGCGAGCTGTGATCGCGCGCGCCGCCTCAGCGCGGCCCGAGGCTTCTCGCACCCGCGGGTCCCCGACGTTACAGCTCCACCCCCTCGCGCAGGGGCCCCAGGGATCCCCACGGCTCGCAGGGCTCCCTCAGGCTTCCTCCGCGGCCTCTGCCAGGTACCCCCCCACCACCACCAGCCCCCCCACCCCCGAGTGTGCGCCGTGTGTGCGTCGTCGGTGGACAGCGAGCGGGTTTCCGGGCGGAGGAGTCGGGGCGAGGCCGCGGCCTGACGCGGTCACTGACAGAGCACGCAGTACACACTGTACACACAGTACACACACTGTACACAGTACACACTGTACACACAGTGTACACAGTGTACACTGTGCACACAGTACACACTGTACACACAATATAGACAGAACACGCAGTACACACTGTACACACAGTACACATAGTACACACAGTGTAGACAGTACACACAGTGTAGACAGTACACGCAGTACACGCAGTACACACAGTGTACACAGTACACACAGTGTACACACAGTACACGCAGTACACACAGTGTACACAGTACACACAGTGTAGACAGTACACATAGTACACGCAGTACACGCAGTGCACACAGTGTAGACAGTGTAGACAGTTACACACAGTACACACAGTGTAGACAGTACACATAGTACACGCAGTACACGCAGTACACAGTACACATAGTGTAGACAGTACACGCAGTACACACAGTACACACAGTGTACACAGTACACATAGTACACGCAGTACACACAATGTAGACAGTACACACAGTGTACACAGTACACACAGTGTAGACAGTACACATAGTACACGCAGTACACACAATGTAGACAGTACACACAGTGTACACAGTACACACAGTACACACAGTGTAGACAGTACACATAGTACACGCAGTACACGCAGTACACACAGTGTACACAGTACACATAGTGTAGACAGTACACGCAGTACACACAGTACACACAGTGTACACAGTACACATAGTACACGCAGTACACACAATGTAGACAGTACACACAGTGTACACAGTACACACAGTGTAGACAGTACACATAGTACACGCAGTACACACAATGTAGACAGTACACACAGTGTACACAGTACATACAGTACACACAGTGTACACAGTACACATAGTACACGCAGTACACGCAGTACACACAGTGTACACAGTACACACAGTGTAGACAGTACACGCAGTACACGCAGTACACACAATGTAGACAGTACACACAGTACACACAGTGCACACAGTGTAGACAGTACACACAGTACAGACAGTGTAGACAGTACACATAGTAGACAGTACACATAGTACACAGTGTAGACAGTACACACAGTGTAGACAGTGTAGACAGTACACACAGTGTAGCCAGTGTAGACAGTACACACAGTGTAGCCAGTGTAGACAGTTACACACAGTACACACAGTGTAGACAGTACACACAGTGTAGACAGCACACACAGTGTAGACAGCACACACAGTGTAGACAGTACACATAGTACACACAGTACACAGTGTAGACAGCACACACAGTACACACAGTGTAGACAGTACACACAGTACACACAGTGTAGACAGTACACACAGTACACACAGTGTAGACAGTGTAGACAGTACACACAGTGTAGACAGTACACACAGTACACACAGTGTAGACAGTACACACAGTACACACAGTGTAGACAGTACACAGTGTAGACAGTACACACAACAACACCGACAACAACAACACCAACAACACCACCACCAACAACACCAACAACAACAACACCTCGCCCTCGGTGCAGACTCTACAAATTTCGTCTCAAAGCTGTGGGGGGCAAGGGGGGGGGGTACCCAGTGTTACAACACTTCCGACAGGAACTTGATTCTATCAGTCCGTGGTGCTGCTGCTGCTGCGTTTGGCTCTGGAATGTTTGGCCTTGGGGGGAAACAAAGGCAAAGATCCCCCGTGTAGCCTGTACCAGACCGGTTCAGATAATCGTCACTGGTGTTGGCCGTGAGCGGGAATCGAACCCGGGTCGCCAGGTTCATAGCGCAGTGCGCTAACCGCTACACCACCGCTCCCCAGTGACACACACCCACAGTGACACACACACACTGATACACACACACACTGACACACACTGACACACACACACACACTGACACACACACACTGACACACACACAGTGACACACTGATACACACACACACTGACACACACAGACTAGCATTGACGGCGGTTTGTGACAAACATCAGAAACGAGGTGTGTGTGGGGTTGTTTCTTTGTTACGGTGGAATGTAAAGACAACGCAACGCCACATGGGCCTGTCCCACAGCCACTGAACATCATCACGACAACAGTCAAACAAAGTCAGTGGAGGCCAAGGGAGACGAGCGGTGTTTGTGCAAAGGTTTCTCTACCGTCGACCTCCCACTCGGAATCAGGATCTGTATTTTAACTGGACGAATCCGATGAGCTCTAAATATAGTTTTTACAGATGTCCAGTAAGAAGGTTACCACAACAAACACATAATATATTAATCATGACACACACATTTGACTTATCCCAAGTCATTCCAAGCGTTCTCAAAGCAAGGACTACGTAATCATACTCTTACAATATAGATAAATAATTAAAGCAGTCAAACATAGCATGTCACGTTGTTGGCATTTTACGCACACGACTCAAAAATCAATTATGAGTCGGAATAAAACCCCACGCGAAGTGGAACATCGCCGCCGCTCAGATGAAAGGACGCTAATTCTGCACCAAGCTGCAGATGGAGAGATTGCAAGGGACGTTGAGCAAGTTGACGACTTTGGCACAACGCTATTCACAGCAGCATCGGGATGTTGTCTGACAAAAACGAGCGGTATTCGAGGAACGAATTCGTAAATATGAATCGAGAAAACATTCACCATGTTGGATTTGCGGATGTCGCATGTCACAATATAACTGTACAGGGTGGTCCAGATGGCTTATGCCCCCCCATTTAATGGTCTAAAATGTAATAATTTTTGTATCCCATTAATATGCAAAGGGAAAAAAATATCTTAGGGGGGGTCAATTAATTGTGGAGTCACAATACATCTGGACCAACACCTTGTGCAATGTTTCTTGTTAAATGACATCCCCCCCCCTCCCCCATTGGTTTTGCTCGTAAAACCCCATTCATGCGGAGGGAGCTGGTATGAACGTTGGGTTGCTCGGTCAATGGCCTGCAGGGTCAACGGCGGCGTGGTGTATTCCGCAAATATTCCCGACTGTGAGGGCGGGCACAAGCCGGCGTGAGTAGGTTAAACGTTGAGTTTTATAAGGGCACCACGGGGTGACCAGCCCCTCCCCACCAAGCCCTCCCACCCCCAACCAGCTCCACCCAGCCCCTACCCACCCAGCCCCTCCCTGCAGGACGGACGGACACAATAATCCCCTGTGGGCTGGTGTAACCAGGAGGTTCCTACCAGTATAGTGTGAGCAAGCTTTGTACGTTTCGTAACGTTTTAGACCCGGTTCCCTCTGCAGTGCCCAGAACATGTGCAGCATGTGCCGATCGATGCCTCCTGTTTGCATCGCGACCAAATGTAACCATGAATGTGGACTAAGGTCTGCACCGTCCAACATCTGCACCGTCCCAGAATAGCCGTGAAATTGAGCCGAAACAGCTTATTGCTGCACTTCCTGCTGCGATAAATAAATTATGTTGTTTATCTGAATATCTAACATCTCGTATCCGTCACAAACAACCAACCCACCAGACCCAGTGGAGTATAGTTGTGTATAGGGTAACTGCCATTGTCAACACGTGTTCACATTTCACATAATTGCCTATAGCGGACATCTGTGAAACTTTGGACAGTTGTGGAAAAGAGCTTGACAACTCATCGGATTCCTCCAGTATAAGCACACACATTCAGATTCTTCACGCGCTGAATAACCTGATAAAGAAAGCTGAGGCCGGATTCAAGATTCGCTTTTTGAAAAAATGTCAAGAGAAATATTAGCCCAGGATCGAAATGATGAAGATGTACTACCCTATGAAGTCGGTATGAATCATTACATGTTGCTTGCTATGACCTGGCTAAGAAAAGTGGGCGACCGCTATGAAGGAGATAACTTAGAGGCTTTAAAAGTGCGTGGGTTTACACTGAGACGCAACATTTCCTAGCGTTGAAAATTCGTTTAACCGACAATGTGGACACTTTAAAGTCGCGTCTAATAACACACCACCCTCCTCCTAAGTCCGTCTATTCGATGTACCTCTCCTCTCTCGGCCTTCCCTTAACCCAGATCTTACAAGGCGCCTTGAGACATTCGTGGATGGCTTCTTGCAAATAAATGTAAATTATTATTATTGAAATGAGGAACTGTAGAACACACACGCAGACGGGTTGTAGAAATAATCTGGCCGCAACTAAAAGTGGCCTTATGCAAGACGCGTTGCGAGACGCTGCGGAGGTGGGCGGTGGGCAAGAGGGGAAGAGGAGTGACAGGCAAAGGACGGAATGCGTCCGTGGGGATGTCCGCTGCAGAGATGGAGCGGCGAGATCGGCTCGTGCCAGGCGGAATGTTACGATGCGGATCCTACACGTCACGGTGACGTTCTTCGCTAGGCCTTCATCCAGCAGTGGACTGATCGTGGCTGACGATGAACCATCATGATAAAGCTTGTTTGGTTAGACCGCGCAAGTATAAATGTGTCGTAATCCTCCACTACCCGACACAGCCAGTAAGGGTTGTCACGTAAACAAAACGGTGTGTTGGAGAGTAAGTCATCAGTCAAGCGCAGCTTAATTAGCGAATGCTTATGCCGCGTTGTGATGCGGTGAGTCAAGCGTCTTGGGTCAAGTTGTCCCACATTCTGGGCCCCTGAGCACAACATCCGCATTCACCGAGAGCAGTTTCGCTGCAACTATAATTGGCCAATTTCCACAAGACCCACCACCACCCCCTCCCCCCCCACATATTTGGCACGAGTGCCATTACCTGATGACACTTGCCAGCTGAGGTCAGACTTTTACACCCACCGCCGAGGGCAAGCGACAAGTTCCTTGTTTCCTTAGGGTCCAACCGAAAGGGCCCCATTGTGCGTCGCAGCGCGAATACGCTGCTGAGCCGTAGGCATTGCCGGCTGGGCGAACCGGTCGCTTGCAACTTGCTCCCCCCCTGTCCCCCCCCCCCCCCCAGCGCCGCACTTGCCTCGGTCCTTTCCCAGACTCGCGCGTGCAAGTGACCGACGACGATGTCTCTGTGTGGGACCGTTTACGTGTCTGCCCGTCACCCGTGCGTAATGAGGTAACCCGCGATTCGTTTGCCAAGCTCCTCTACAGCTGTCGGGGAAGTACGCCCGCAGCGGATCGCCGTTGCTCTTTGGAACGGAGCTGTGTGTGGACAGTGCGTTCGGAACCCACCTAGCACGTGCCTCGAGGGTGTGTGCATGCACCTTGGCACAGCAGGGGGCACAGCTGGCGTGCATCTGCCAGCCATCTCGAGTCGGCCAACCCACGGCACCTTCTGGGTCTGTCCCGTGACTGCCTGTCGGCGAGCCTTCGACACTTCAGGTGACGGCCTCAACGTGCACCTGGCCTGGCACAGGCGCCGTGGTGACGTCGCCGCCACTTAGTGGCGAATGGCAGCAGCGTAGAAGTCCGCGTGCGCTGCGCTACGAACCCGGTGACCCGAGTTTGAGCCCCGCTCGCGGCGCCCACACCAGTGACAACGACTTGAACGGGTCCCGAGTCTCGCCTCGTTGACTCGGCCTCACACGGATACCTGGTGCGGCGTGTCAACATCGCCGCCACTCGGGAGACAAAGCGGCCGGGCGTGGTGCTGGCTCCCTACCTCCTCGTGTGCCACGCCGCTGTTTGCTAACAGCAGTTGCCTCAACAGTCCGTTAAGGCTGTATGGTGGAGCTTTGTCTTTGTGTACACGCGTAACAACCACAAGTTGTATCCCATTCACCACCGCTAAACTGGAGCGTTTATACCGGTCAACCCATATGGTTTACCCGTGTTCTTGTGCGGGGTCCATACGGCGTACAGCCGTTTCAATACGGGCACATTTTTTTTCGTCTATTTGTGTTTCTCCCTTGTGATGGGACTTTGTAGGAAGAACGTTGAGATTTATGAGGGGCACGGGGTGACCAACAAGGTCTGCGTTGGTGTGTAATAAGGTCGGGCACTGCTAAGGGGTTGACAGGTATGGAATCTTAACCTGGGGCTCCCCTACATTGACACGACATGAAATTATAATCTGGGGCAATGTGAAAACATCAGCACTGCTGAGACAAAGGCGGCCAGATGTCGTGCTACGTACGGTGCGAAAGAAGTTCAACATAGATATCCACAGCAGCCCTGTGCGTACAATAGCGGCCTAAATAGTTGCCCGCTAACAGCCCTGGCAGCAAAAACAAAACATGTGGACGGCAATGCCCAAGTCTGTGTGTTAGCTAACTTCTACCGCAACATGTCGTTTCTGTGAGTGCATTCCACGTTATTTTACTGTTGCAACAAAAATTCGTGCGAGTAATAGGTTTTGTTTTCGTTACCCGTACAGAGCCGTACGAGACAGGTATTATGCAAAATAATGTACATCTGGTTGGACAGGCTTCTGCTGAGCCACACTTATCACTGGTTAGCCCGGAAATATGAGCAATAGTTGTGCACATAGGGGGGATAGTTTACAGTGTTACGCGTGATGAAATAAGAGTGAGGTAATTATTTGCTAAAAGCAGAGATGATGATGATGATGGGCGATGATCACGGTAGTTAATATCTTGGCATTCGTTGAGTACATTTTCCCTGCATCAGATCATTTTACGCGGCACGACCGAGAGCCTCGGTAAAAGTCTGAGCGGCCACGCGTGGACAGGGCGGCAGCAGCAGCAGGCAAGTGGTCACGAATCGTGCTCTCTGCCTGCTCACTCATTGCCAGAGGAAATGTAAACAGTGGCCTTTTCACTCGGTGTAGCCTTGCCCAGCTGATGGATAAAGTTTTACTGGTAGGAACCTACTGGTTCCACCAGCCCACAGGGGATTATTGTGTCCATCCGTCGTGCATCCAAAAATGGGAGGGGTGAGTCTGGGTGGACAGGGGAGGGTGGGGAGGGGCTGGGTGGAGAGGGGAGGGTGGGGAGGGGCTGGGTGGGGAGGGTGGGGTTGGGTGGGGAGGGGAGGGAGGGGCTGGGTGGGGAGGGGCTGGGTGGGGAGGGGCTGGGTGGGGAGGGTGGGGAGTGGCTGGGTGGGGAGGGTGGGGAGGGGCTGAGTGAGGAGGGTGGGAGGGGTGGGAGGGGTGGGGCTGGGTGGGGAGGGGCTGGTCACCCCCTGGTGCCCTTATAAAACTCAACGTTTAACCTACTCACGCCGGCTTTTGCCCGCCCTCACAGTCGGCATATTTACGGAATACACCACGCCGCCGTTGACGCTAGCCATTGACCGAGCAACCCAACGTTCCTACCAGCTCCCTCCGCAGGAATGTGTTCGTTTCTCATACTGTACGTTAGTTTAACATCGGTTTATGTTGAGAGCAAAGAAGCTCTTGGATTGGGTTTCATCAACAGAAGCATCGGCTCCCTGGCAAGCGTGACCTCGGCAACAGGTCGCAAGAACAATAGAGATACAAATAAGTACTTAACGGAGTGAAAAACAATGGCAACAAATCACATGATGTAGAGTCTATTACAAATTCATCTTTTAAATATTTCACTAAAGTGAGGATTACGCCATAATATCGTTTTTTCTTGGGTTAGATCGCGTAAATATAAATGTGTCGTTAAACCCGCCACCACCAATCTGGCTGTCAGCCTGATGATGCTGGTTGTAGTTACTGGGGCAACGTCGTGCTCGGATTGTAAATGTGGATTTGCTCTCCAACACACCGGTGTGCTGTACTAATGACGAATTGGCCACGTTCTGTTTTCCATGACACTAAACCTTACTAATGGGCTGTGTCGGGTGGTGGCGGGTTTAGAGACACATTTATATATTTACACGATCTAACCCAAAAAAACCCTATATTGTGGAGCATTAGTAAAGTTGTGTCACGTAGACAAAATGTGCCAATTCGTCACGAGTAGAGCACATACCCGGTGTGTTGGAGAGTAAACCCACTACAACATTCACAATTCGACTAGCGTGGCATTCCGCCAGCCATTACAGCAACCAGCACATCATGGTGCCGGGTGATGATGCTGGGTGGTGCAATTACTGGCGAAACGTCGCCGTACTCGAATTGTGAATGTTGTAGTGGGTTTACTCTCCAACACACCGGGTATGTGCTGTACTAGTCACGAATTGGCACGTTCTGTTTACGTGACAAACCTTACTAATTGGCTATGTCGGGTGGTGGCGGGTTTAACGACACATTTAAGAGATCTAACCCAAAACAAGCTATTTTATAAAGTGAGAATTACGATTAAAGTACATTGCAAATAAGGCGTAAAATCGCAAATGCTAAAATAGTTTCCCCGAGAAACATCACATTTCAAGCTACAGTAATAATAATAATGGCAGACCGCTCTCGACTGGGGTCTGCTGAGCTTGGCGGAATGTCGTCTTGTGCTTTGGTGCGAGAGCTCCGTTGGAGAGACGTCGAAACAATACCGTTCCTGAATGTCTCATCTCGAACCATGCCCCGAAGTGATGCGATTTTCTGCTGGAGCATTTCTCTTCACCTCGCTGCGTGATTTCTCATCAACCGTCACTCATTCGTTCCTCCAGCCACGTCGATGCCTCGGTCTGCCAGACCTGACCGTTCAATCTCATCCACCGCTGTGTTCAAACCACCACCACCGTCGCACTGCAGCTCACAACACTTCGACTTTGGCTTGTCTCCTCACACCGCTTGGCTTGGGATTTCCCTCGTATCTCTCTTCACCCAAGTTCTTACAGCCTTGCTTATTCACGGACGAGGTTTGTAGGGGCGCCACGGTTAACTACCTCGCCTGGTATAAAGGACGTCGTGAGTTCGATCCCGACCCTTTACGCCTGCTGTATATTTGGAGTTTGCGTGTTCTCTCCCCAGCGTCGCGTGGATTTTTCTCCGGTTTTCCCCTCCACATTTAGAATGAATGACACGCGTTTAGAGTATTTGGCTGCTGTGGCTTCCACGTGATGACAAGCCACTTCGTTGAGCTATCGTTTGTGATGGCCAGGTCGCTTCTGAAAAAAAGCTCCATAGCTCAGTGGGCCTTATCTAATAAAGTAAATAAATACATGTAAGTGTATCCATGTTCTCTCCCCGCAGGTCTCTCCCCGCCCCGTTACCCCTTCTCCCCGCAGTCACGATGGCAGCAGGCGACGGCCAACTCATCGACTTTGGAGACAGCGCTGCACAGCCGGCTCTGCCGGCCAATGGCAGGCAGGCATCTTCACGCCCATCGGCCTTCCTGGCCAGTGAGGATGGGCACGCCGGTGGCTTTGAAGCGCTGAGTTTGACCTCTGAAGAGCGCAAAGCCGAGCAGGAGTTTGAGGCGATAGCTGCACAAGGTGGGTGTTCCTTTGCTTGGGTTAACGTCCATAAAAAAAACTATTTTATTTTAGAAACTGAACTATGTTTTAGTTAACCAGATATGGCCCACCGAGCCATTAGCTTATTTTTCAGAGGCGACCTGGTCGCAAATGATAGCTCAACGAAGTGGCTTATCGTCACGTGCAAATGTATAGCAGCCAAATACTCTTAAAACACGTGATGATAATTCTAAATGTGGAGGGAAAAAGCGGAGGAGCCGGAGAAATATCTACGCGACCTTGGGGAGAGAGACACGCAAACTCCAAATATACAGGTGTTGGGGGTTTGGATCGAACCTACGACCTCCTGTATACCAGGCGAGGTAGTTAACATCTCACCACTGTGACTTGCTATTGATTTGCGTTTGTGAAGAAACCTACACAAAGACGTCACAGCTTTTTGAAAGAAACAAGGTGCTGTCATGTAACGATTCTTAGTTGGAGAGCAGTGGCCCTTATCCTCCCGCGCCGCTTCCTTTGCAGAGCTGGAGAGGGACGAGAACGAGCAAAAGCAACTGCAGGGAGGCCACCCGGCCCCGCCGGTCCCAACCAGGCCACCCCCTGAGCGCCCAGCGGCGGAGAAGGCCACCTCGCCTGTGCCAGGATCGCGACCCCAGTTGGACCCCCAACACCCTTACTACGACGTGGCCCGCCACGGCATCGTGGAGGTAGTAGGTACGTGTGCACGCAGCACGCCTTGACGCACGCACGCGCTGGCACGCACACGCTGGCACGCGCACGCACCCGGGACTCTCTCCCCCCACTGCTGCACACACGCAGCAGCATCCAAGCACCGCCCTCCACCTTCGAGCAGCAGCTCAATGCTTGCACCTGTCCAGGCCCTCGCCTGCCCAGGCCCTCACTTGAAAAAGATTGGCCTGGTGCTCAGCCCTCTGGCCATTGCGCCCGTGTGGGTGTGGCCTGCATGTAAACGCATTGTGTTTGTGTTGCATGCACAGGTGAAGACAACCTTGGGCGAAAAGTGATCATCTTCAGCTGCTGTCGGATGCCACCGACACACCAGCTCAACCACCACAAGCTGCTTGAGTGGGTAGCTGTGAGCGGTTGCGATTGCATGGCTCACCTGCATGGGTTGAGTGCGTGGTGTATTGTGATCGTAGGCGTCGCGTATGCTTTCACGTGTGACCGTCCGCGCGTGCACGGGTTGTATCGCGTTTCATTCCCGGATGACCGAACCGGTTTGTAAAATTCCAATTCAATGAATCAAGAAATTCAGGTTCATAATTCTTTGGCGCTGTTACGTTGAAAGGGGTTCTTGTAAAAAAAAAACCGACCCAATTAACTGCAAAACTGCCATTGAAAATGTGTGCCTATCGTGGAACTTGTGTAACTTGAATCCCTTCTGTCCGCAACTCCTCCTCGGTGCGGGCCCCACGCCACTCCGAGTGTTTCTCGTTAAGGTCTCGTGGAGCCCTACGAATTGGTGGGGAAAGCGTTTTCCAGTTATGGGGGAATCTCCGCAAATCCTCTAAATTACTAAATATCTGAGAAAATGTAATATCGTTTAATGCAGCTATTTATTTGTAGCTACAAATTGGTAAATATTTACAATTTAAGGACAACAACAACAAATCACTGCCGTGTGGTTTAATCTGAAGGGCCAGGTTAACTGGATGTCGGAAGGGCTGAAGAGATTTTGTATTTATTTGGCCATGAAACATCCATTTTGTCGTGTGCACGACGAAACGTTACATCGCTGCGAAAAATCCGATGGCCGGCAGGCAGTGTGGCGTCGCCAAGCGGACGGATTCCTGAGCTCCGTACCGCAGACGAGTACGGGAGTCGCTCGTGCGCTCACGGGCACCGTCCACCAGCTCGCGCCTCTTCAAATCAGAATCTTTATTTAGGCGGCTGCAGGAGGAGGAATCCGATGAGCTACGAAGCTTTTTTCTATTTCACACATGTCCAGCGTGGGCGCGCGGTCAGCAAGTTACAACAACGGCAAACGATGAAACAAAAACACGATAGGAGTGCAAAAGTATAGAGGAAATGTCACCAAATATAGATAAATTATAAACATATTACTCGTATAAGTCCGATTTATCCAGCTTGGTTTCGGCAGCAAAAGCAACACCAAAACAGTCCCAGACCCACACCAAGTTAACACCACACCGCAGCAGTAGCAGCCTCCTAGCGAAATGGCCACTTTAACGTTGAACTACCGATACAACTTCATTGGCGTGCGGTCAGTTTTCCGTCGATGGCGACGTTCGGAACATTCAGGGTGAGACGGGCCCCTGCCGTGCTGCACCACAGCCACTTGTCGCTGCCGCTCTCTTTGTAGGCCAACTGTTGCCTTTGCTGTTGTGTGTGTGTGTGCGCGTGCCCGTGTGTGTGTGTATGCATGCACGTCCGTGGTTTGTGCGCAGATACCTGCGGTACACGCTGGATCAGTACGTGGAGAGTGACTACACCCTCATCTATTTCCACTACGGCCTGACCAGCGAGAACAAGCCGTCTTTCCAGTGGCTGCTCAATGCCTACCGAGAGTTTGACCGCAAGTACGAACGCGCACACGGACCAAGATCCCCCCCCCCCCCCCCCCCCCGTGTAGCCTCAACAGTCGGGGCAAGTGCTGTTAGAGAGCTGTACCTGTGCAGGCTGGCATGGCACCCCAAGGGGGTCGTGGCCTGCACCATGCCGGCCACCTCTGTACATAAACAGTGCTGTGTATGTACCGTGCCAGGTACTCATTTGAGGCACATTTGGCCTAGTGGAGGCCCAGAACTGGTTTAGATAATCGTCACTGGTGTTGGTCGCGAGCGGGAATCGAACTTGGGTTGCTGGGCTCATAGCGCGACACCGCCGCTCCCCACGAACTTGCGCACACGCATGGCAAACGCATGGCGCATGAATAGCAGACGGATGCTCGCATGTAGCAACACGCACGGGGAAGAATGCGTGCTCGTGCACATGGGGAAGGAATGTCTTCTGCTTGGACAGGTGCTGCGATGAAAATACAAATCAATTGACAGAGGCTTTAGATGGCAAAGAACCCAACAGCTCCTGGTCTTTTTCAGTGCAGATTAAGCTGACAGGAAGGCACTGGAAATATAAGAAAACCGCTTGAACGTGTTTCCGTCCATTTGCATCGAGTGCCATTTATTATGTCGGTATTAAGTTTTGTTGGGTCTTTTATTTACTCCTGATACTTGCTCGACACGCACGGACTGGCTTCTGCTCGTCAATATCGATAGACTTCTTTCAATCTGTTGCTCTTGCATTTCGATATTCTTTACGCACCGGGTTATCTTTCATATATATTTGTATGTTTCGTTGAGTTCTACCATTCAGTACGTTTCATCGAATCGGTATAAACATTTTTACTCTTGCAACCACGGCAATGGGCAGTTGGCGATGCGCGTGCACGTGGTCGTGACGCCACCCTCTCCGCTCACCCCCTAGGTACAAGAAGAACCTCAAGGCGCTCTACGTTGTGCATCCCACCAACTTCATCCGTGTGCTGTGGAGCTTCCTGAAGCCCTTCATCAGGTGGACAGAGGCGGTTTCTTTTCCTATCTTCGTTGTCGCACCTCCGATTAGCACGGTGCGAAAGAAGTCTAACGTACGTGCGTGCGTTGGAGGCGCAAGTTGAGCGGTGCGTGCGGTGTGTGCGTGTGTGCACGTTAGCTCCGGGCGCGTTGCCTTGCGCGATCAGCGCGCGTGTCGTCTGTCGTTCGCGCGTCATTCGTGCGTTGTGCTCGCCGCCTGTCTACCCGACAGCTACAAGTTTGGCCGCAAGGTGATGTACTTCAACTACCTGAGCGAGCTGCACCTGCAGATGAAGGACCCCATGCTCATCATCCCACCGGAAGTTGTGAGGTCAGTCGTCACATCGATGGTCCACCCGGTACCTTCACCACTTTTTGCAACTGTTGAGCAGGTAGCATCTTTAGCTGCAGCGCGAGGTGCTTTTCACTAAATTCTGGACTCCCGTGTATGTCGAGAGAGAGAGAGTAGTGCCACGTGCCACTTGTTAATAACTTTATTTTAGGGTTTTCCAGTCATAACATTCAACGAAATGACAACGCAGGTGTCCACCAAGTACAGAGCAGCACCAGTAGATCCCAAAGAAGAGGAGGGCACGTTATTACTGAGCACATTGCATGTATGTGTGTGTGTGTATGTTGTATGAATGTGTGTGTGTGTGTATGTTGCATCTGCCGGTCATCTCAGTCGGTCCCATGACCTCCTGCGAACGAGAGCAATGGTACAGCGCCAGCCTCTGCAAGCCGCCGGCAACCTTTGCGCGGCGGTCACCTTAACAGTAAAGATGTTCACATGACCATACTTCCCTTTGCAGGTGCGCGTGCTGTACACGTGTGTTCTGGTGTTCTATAGTGTGGCTTGCGATGCCCAGCACGCTAGGCTACGATCACAGGGACCCAGATTACAAGTTGCTAGCTCCGCACGCAACGCCAGAGGCCACTTCCTTGAGCGAGCCCTCTCCCGGGCTCAAACCTGAATTTTAGTTCATGATTCGTTGGCTCAACATCAGCGCCGGGGAAAGAAAAATTCAGTTCGTGGAGTGAGTGAGTGCTATTGGCTCTGCCAGCATCTCTCGTGCACCAGGCCCTGCGGCCCGACCTCGCAGCAGATGGCGCCAGCGTGGGGGGTTTCCCCGTGATCTGTGTGTGTGCGGGTGGGGGGAGCGGCAGTGTAGCGGTTAGCGCGTTGCGCTATAAACCCGGCGAACCGAGTTCGATTCCTGTTCACGGTCCAACACCATTGACGATTATTTGAACCGGTCCTGGGTCTCCCCTAGGTCGACTCAGCCTCAAATGAGTACCTGGTGTGGTGTGTAAACATTGGCACTAGGGAGACAAAGGCGGCCAGGTGTAGTGCTGGCCACCCACCCCCTCATGTACCGTTCCAGCCTTCATAGGTGCTCGCTAACAACACTTGACCCAACAGTCTGTTAAGGCAACAAGGGGGATCTTTGTGTGTGTGTCGGCATGCTGCGACCAGGTTTGATGAAGAGAAAAACAAGAGGTCAAAGGTGATGGCTCCCACAGCCACCCAGGCGAGCGTTGTCGCTGACATTCCGGCCACACAGCAGTTCGGAGTTGGCCTGAAGAGGTACACACAATACATTGCCGTTTTAGCGATGGAAACCACTCCGCTTCCTCGTTGATTTGTGGTCTCCGGGGTCACGGATACGAAAACACTTACTTACAGTTCTCTCCATAAAGTGTTTCAAGGACAGTGTTAATTACCTGCGGTGCGGTGCCCTTGCTTCGGCGAGTGATAAATTAGTCATCTGAATGATAAGTAACGGGGATATTGTGAGATCCTCTGACCCCTGGTGAAAAGCCGAAGCTTAGCTCGGTGGCCTTATCACATTATCCAATTGTCGGCTTGATATCTCATTAGTCGGTAGTCAGCGAGTCCATCGCTTGTCAAGCTTGTTCCGTAAGACAATGTCTCATTTGTACTCGTGGATTTTCTTTTACAAGGCCTCTGCCAACAAATGACGCCCGAGCTCATGGCTCTGCGTAAAGTCGACCGCTCTTTGTCACTCAGCCCATGCAGTGGCCGATTCTTGCCTTCCAAGTTGCACGCAGCATCATTGGGAGAGGGAAAAAACACAAACATCTGGAGGATATGCAGAGAAGTGCCCTTTACCTGCAGCGTTGTCTATTGTAGTTTTTTTTTTACTTTCAGGACAATTTTATTGACCAGAATGTATTTTTTTTGTGCTTGTGCAGTCAACACGACAACTGCTTCATAGTCGGATTTGTGGCCCTGCCAAAATCAGTAATGACAAGCACGTTAAAAAACCCCAACAGCAAAAAAAACCTCTTAAACATGGCTTGTGCGTTACCTGCGTGCACACTTCCTTGCTTGTGTGTACACGCGAGCACACACGGACCTCCTTGCACGTGATATTCTTGTGCGTGTTCCTCTGTTCATACTTGCGTGTTCATACGTGCCACCCTTGTGCCTGCTGTGTGCAGGCTGGCCGAGAATAGTGGGCAGCTCATCCCCCTGGTGGTGAGGGATACGGTGGCGTACCTCAAAGAGCATGGTGCGTGCTCACCGATACGGTGCCTCTTGCGTGATTCCCATCCTCCCAAGTTGTGACCTTCACTCAAACCCTCGGCCCTCTTAATTTGGGTGCCATCACCACGCGAACTCCGGTCATCCTTGCAGCAGCGGGTTTTGGCTAAGCCATTGAAGAAAGTCGGTGGTCACCGCATCGCGTGTTTTCAGATGCGCTTCTGCGGCCGTCTGGAACACTCTTCTGTTATTGGGAAGCCACTGGAGCTATGCACTCTTAAATGTAGATTGAAAATTAATTTCTTTAGAACTTTCTAGATTTGAAGCTTTCGTGACTGCAAGGATTCATACTCTTAGGTTTTTTCGGTAAAGTCTTTAGACCTGCTTTGTGTGTTTAGTTTGTCGTTTCCCCATACCTCCGATTATCACGGTTGGATACCTACGGTGCGAAATAAGTTCAAGAAATACTCGCACTGTGTGGCGATCTTGTGCTGGATTTCACCGTGGTGTTGTCTTGATATACCGTCTTAATTAGTCCTAGATACTATTTTCCAGGTAAGGTCCACTGAGCTATATACATTTTTTCCAGAAGCGACCTGACCACAAATCATAGCCCAAAGAGAAGATGCTTATCATCGTGTAGAAATCTACAGCAGCCAAATACTCCGAATGCACGTGGATTCTAAATGTTTCGCATCGCACGTCAAGGGGATGGTGTTGTGATGTCGTTGCGTGCAGGCCTGCAGACAGAAGGGATCTTCCGGCGTTCTGCAAGTACGCAGGCGCTCAGGGAAACGCAAGAGCGCTACAACCGCGGTACGACGCACGGCCCCCTCGCGGGCACGTGACACATTCACGTGACACATTCACGTGACACATTCACGTGACACATTCACGTGACACATTCACGTGACACATTCACGTGACACATTCACGTGACACATTCACGTGACACATTCACGTGACACATTCACGTGACACATTCACGTGACACATTCACGTGACACATTCACGTGACACATTCACGTGACACATTCACGTGACACATTCACAGTGACACATTCACATGACACATTCACATGACACATTCACATGACACATTCACATGACACATTCACATGACACATTCACATGACACATTCACATGACACATTCACATGACACATTCACATGACACATTCACATGACACATTCACGTGACACATTCACGTGACACATTCACGTGACACATTCACGTGACACATTCACGTGACACATTCACGTGACACATTCACGTGACACATTCACGTGACACATTCACGTGACACATTCACGTGACACATTCACGTGACACATTCACGTGACACATTCACGTGACACATTCACGTGACACATTCACGTGACACATTCACGTGACACATTCACGTGACACATTCACGTGACACATTCACGTGACACATTCACGTGACACATTCACGTGACACATTCACGTGACACATTCACGTGACACATTCACGTGACACATTCACGTGACACATTCACGTGACACATTCACGTGACACATTCACGTGACACATTCACGTGACACATTCACGTGACACGACACATTCACGTGACACATTCACGTGACACATTCACGTGACACATCACGTGACATTCACGTGACACATTCACGTGACACATTCACGTGACACATTCACGTGACACATTCACGTGACACATTCACGTGACACATTCACGTGACACATTCACGTGACACATTCACGTGACACATTCACGTGACACATTCACGTGACACATTCACGTGACACATTCACGTGACACATTCACGTGACACATTCACGTGACACATTCACGGACACATTCACGTGACACATTCACGTGACACATTCACGTGACACATTCACGTGACACATTCACGTGACACATTCCGTGACACATTCACGTGACACATTTCACGTGACACATTCACGTGACACATTCACGTGACACATTCACGTGACACATTCACGTGACACATTCACGTGACACATTCACGTGACACATTCACGTGACACATTCACGTGACACATTCACGTGACACATTCACGTGACACATTCACGTGACACATTCACGTGACACATTCACGTGACACATTCACGTGACACATTCACGTGACACATTCACGTGACACATTCACGTGACACATTCACGTGACACATTCACGTGACACATTCACGTGACACATTGACGTGACACATTGACGTGACACATTCACGTGACACATTCACGTGACACATTCACATGACACATTCACGTGACACATTCACGCGGCCAACGAATTTGAAGGCTTCGACAACCGGTGACCAAAGCGCGTGTCTCGTGGAAGTTTGATCTCACGTGACGTCATCACTCACGAGCAGGCTTTGCACCCCGTTGGTGTTAACAAAAAATTTCACAAATTTGAGAATTAACTGCAGCTGGATTGTGGGGTGTAGGGGAGGGGGTTGGAGGTGGGGGAGAAGCTGTCACGATGCAACTGGCTCCGTACGTTTCCTCCAACAAAGGAGAATCTCAGCGTCTGCTCATCCGATCAGTGTGTCGCCTGCTAGGATTAGGCCACGCTTGCTGCGTAACTCCCAGAGTATCCCTGCAGCATCGTCCGTTGGTGTAGCCCAATGTTATGGAGCCCACTGCCTCCTTCCCCAACCCACCCACCCAATGTGCACGCACGAACGTGTCCCGCGCTGTGCTCGTGTGTGCGAGCAGGACAGCCGGTGGACTTCCAAGCCCTGGGTGACGTGCACCTGGCTGCGGTCATCCTCAAAACATTCCTGCGGGAGCTCCCGGAGCCCCTTCTCACCTTCAGCCTCTTTCCCTACATCATCAGCGTTCAAGGTATGGACCGACTTCCCCTTTGAACTTCTTTCGCGCCGTGCGTAGGCCTCTCTTCTCCCTCACTCGTGCCCTGCGGACCCCAACACAACCAATTACAGAGACTCCTCTACTTACGAACACTTGACTTACGATCTTCAGAGATACGAACAAATCTGTCCCGAATATCCAGTTGCCTGTTCGGGCCGGGAGTCGTAAGTTTAACCGCCTCGCGCAATAGATGGCGGTGGTGGCATCTACATCTGCAGAACGTGAAGAACCAGTGGCATCTACATCTGCAGAACATGGTGAACTAGTGGCATCAACATCTACAGGATATTATACAACTTTGAAAGCCATTCCCTATGTTTAGTGTACATGACGTACATGTTTGGAATTAACAGGAGTAAAGTGGGACTTACGAACAGACCTCTGGAACCTAACTCGTTTGTAAGTCGAGGAGTCCCCGTACATCGCTGCTGTGAACCTTGCCTCTGCCATCCACTCGGTGTTCCATGTCCCGCGACTCGCTGTGGGTCGACGGGCCAGCAGCAGGCGAGTGGGCTCGGCGATGTGAAGTACCGTCGTGGTCGTCACCGTCGTGGTCGTCACCGTCGTGGTCGTCACCGTCGTGGTCGTCACCGTCGTGGTCGTCACCGACGTGGTCGTCACCGACGTGGTCGTCACCGTCGTGGTCGTCACCGTCGTGGTCGTCACCGTCGTGGTCGTCACCGTCGTGGTCGTCACCGTCGTGGTCGTCACCGTCGTGGTCGTCACCGTCGTGGTCGTCACCGTCGTGGTCGTCACCGTCGTGGTCGTCACCGTCGTGGTCGTCACCGACGTGGTCGTCACCGTCGTGGTCGTCACCGACGTGGTCGTCACCGACGTGGTCGTCACCGTCGTGGTCGTCACCGTCGTGGTCGTCTCGCGGTGTCTCTCCCAGGCCTCGAGAAGGATGCGCGCGGAGCCGCCGTCGTGGAGATGGTGAAGAAGCTCCCGGAGGAGAACCGTGCCGTCCTCAATCACCTGCTCGACTTCCTGAAGCTGGTGAGCCCCGAGGCGTAGCGCACCCACGTTCGTACGGCAACACACTCACCCTGGACGCACACAAGCGTATTTTAACTCCGCACGCACGAGTGCATTTGGACACCACATTTGCGCGCAAACTTGGGTGCGTTCAACTGCTGGTTTCCGTGCTTCGTCCTATGCTTGACACTGCACATTTCTCATCAAACACTTGTGCGCGCGCACGCTGCTGCGCCACTCTTAACGCACGTGTCTTAACACGTGCACGCGTTACGAAAGGAATCCTGGGAAGTGCACGACGCTCGACACGAGCGTCGTGCACTTCCCAGGGGCACGCCTCCACGCGAATATCCCAAAGCACTTCGTAGCCACGCCTACGTACGCACCCATTCCCCGCAACACGCTCGCCCTCGGTGCCCTCATTCCGCTCCACCCTCGTCACACGCCAGGTGGAGCAGCACAGCGGCGTCAACAAGATGTCGGGGGAGAACTTGGCCATCGTGTTCGGCCCCAACCTGGTGTGGGAGCGCGAGCGGTCGCTCAACCTCGCCACGATGGCGCCGGTCAACAACTTCGCGCTCGTCCTGCTGCAGAGCCACGGCCAAGCGGTCCCTCGCCCCGTGCGGCCGCCGCCGCCGCCGCCCACCGCCGCCACCGTGACGCCCGCGGCCTCTCCGTGAACTCCGTGGACTCGCTCACTTTCGTGTGCCCTTGGTTGTTCGTCTCTCTCCGACCACGTCTTGTTTTCTGCTTTCTAGGTAATGATTAAAGCCAAGTGTAAAATTACCAACCCGCCCCTCCCCTATTTTCTCACTAAATATCACAAATGTGTGCAATTAAAAGCACACTTTTGCTAAGGAACCTAAATGTTTGGTAATGTTGATGAATTTGACGACCGCATTGGGACAATTGTATTGACAGCAACCTGTCTGTTAAATGTCGACATGCATCGTTCATCGCAGTTTGCCCAGATTGAAGATGGCTCCACCTTGGGAAGAGGCCCCTGTGGTGGTGCATGGCAGTCGCGAGCGAGCGCTATCAAGAGTGAGCTCCGACCGAAACAAATCGGAACGAGTGCTTCCCCACATTCGCTTGCTCGAAAGGTCGATTGAAAGGCTTAGCCCCTTACCTGCCATGCTGCAGTACACACTTCACAAGGCATTCCTCCCTTAAGCCGCAGCTGAGACAGCTTGCATGGAACTTTGTCCTTGCGCCTTTTTTGATTGAAACAATTGTGCGTGTGGTGCTCCAGTTTATCACGAGCACTATGGCAACATGGAAGATGACCACATCCAGGGCAATGTGGCACAGCCACTGATAAGGATTGCCTTTGAGGAATGTGTCTTGCATGTATGGGCTCGCTCTCTGGGTAGTCTCGTCGCCTTCCCTGCATGCAAGAACATAACCCTAAAATGGTATGGACATCTCAAGCGCAGGATCTTTGGAGAGAAAAACTTTAAACTTTCCAAATTCTTAGTTGAAAGCATTCCTGAGTAAATGCAATACACGTTTGTGTTGGGTCAGCATTGGGACACAGCCCAGGAGGAGCTTTATTACCCTGTTCCTGTCTGACCTGGAGACTTGACCACACAGCTTTGAAGGAACGGGAACAAAGGGGTGTCAGATGCAGAGAGGGACCCACTTTTGATTAATGTCTTTGTTGCACGATTTTCAGTTTTGACTTAAATCACTTCCGCGGGTAGCTGTGTGTACGTGCATCTCCGTCCCATCGCCTTAATCGCCGAGGAATTTGCGTGCCATTTGTAAACATTAAATGCAGTGGCCTGATGTGAATTTGTTTAAAAGGGTGCATTTAAAGACTTGCCTATAGACCCCCAAAGACGTTGATATCGAGCAGAGAATCGCGTGCAGGCCAATCGGTGCCCACACAGACTGGATTGTGATTGGTATAGCGGGTTTATCAGTGTAGTTGGTGTGGAAAAAGTGAAAAGTTTGTGCAGTGGAGCTTGTGGTTTAGGTGAAGGTGGTTGGAGTGGACCATGAAAGATGGATTTGACAGACTTTTTTTTAAATAAAAGACCATAAGTTGAATATCTTTTTCAAATGTTTTCTCTTGTCAACGTTATCGCCGTTGTGCTGTAGTTTGGCTCCCTGAAGATGTATCGCAGTCGCGTTTAATCGTCGAGTTGTGCCAGAATGTGGAGCGCCGTACGTGCATTGTTCACACGCACAACAAAAAAAGATTTGTAATTCTAATTTGTAAAGCACTTCCTCTATATAAAAAAGTTGATTTTGAAAAGGTGTTATTTTGTGGTGCATTCTCAAAGTTGTTATCGTGCATTTCCTCCAGCTCCACGGGGGCGACGAGAGATTCACCTTCGCGCGCTCTCGTCGAAGAGCGAGCGAGCGCTGCGTGCCGCGTTGCGCAAGTTGAACCGATTAACACAAAAACCCAAACCCCAAGCGCCTGGAATGTATGTACACGTACGTAAGTTGGAACTTCTTTTTCACCGTGCGTAGCTAACCGTCGGTGTGGGGGGGGACAACCACAAAAACAAGGAATAAAATATTACGTCGGTACAAACCAGCATCAACCTGACACCACACAGAAGGTAGAAACCCATGGGATGTGTTATTACCCCTTGGTAGTACCCACGTTGACCCGCCGCAGCACTCCTTGCGAATGTGGAATGAGGCGGGAGCTTGCTTGCCGTGCCGAGGAGGGGGCGGCGGTAGGGAGATGGGCGATCAGGGTCCAGGACCGAGTGATTCACCCCCCAGTGTCTGCAGCCTGTAAGTGGGTTCACCACGTGGGGGGCAGAGGCCTTGCGAGCGCATGGAAGGGTGGGGGTGAGAGGGCCTTCTTTAGCGTACTCGCGATTTGTTCGGCCAGGCCACAGCGTCTTCACCTGAAGTTCTCCGTGCTGACGGTCCTCCATCCAGAGGGCAATCCTCGACAAGATTCACAACAAAGATTTGTTTTTCTTGGGTCAGATCGCGTGAGACTATGTAAATGTGTCGTTAACCCACCACCACCACCTGACACGGCCAATTGGTAAGGTTTGTCACGTGAACAAAATGTGCCACTTAGTTGCTAGTTCAGCAAACCGGTGCGTTGGAGAGTAAACCCACGCAACATTTACGAATGTGAGTAATGTAATGTAAACATTACATGTCATGTTTACATTACATATGGAAAAATGTCACATTGCATCCATGGGTACATTGGGACTTAATGAGATTGTGGGGTGGGGGGAGATAGGAAGATGTGCCTGCTTTGTAAAAAATAGAGAAACGATTCGCTGTAATCTTGTTAAAACCTTGTTAAAGCACAACAGAGAATCCTGTCCACACTCATCCAGAACTTAAAGAATGACACGGGGACACCTGCCGCATTTTGTTCCCAAAATCAGTTATATTACAAACACGGCCTACAGAGTTGCATTTCATACAGTGATGTTAGGTCATAGTAATAATAATAAAAATAATCCCTGTATGGGGGGGGGGGCAGCACATGACCATGTACCCAGTCACGTGATGAGTGACGCCACAGAAGTAGCAAGGGGAAGGTGGGGGGGTCATGCCGAGCTCCCCTCCGCCCTCATCTCTCCTGCACGGACGAGGGGGGGGGGGCACAGCTCATCACACGCACGTGAACCCTGTGTACACGTGAACCCTGTGTACACGTGAACCCACCCAACACAACAACACCCCCCATCCGCTCTCACGTGCACAAGTTGGCGCAGTTTGGCAAATAAACAGCTAACACTTATCTTGTATTTGTGTTTTTTAAATGTTTTTTTGTTTTAAGTATAGCAAAAAATTAAAAATGGAAGGTACGGGGGGGGGGGGGGGGGAGTTTGTTCTTCTTAGCCCCCTGTGAGGACAAAAGTCTGACACCACTGCCACCACCACCACGACATCGCCCCACCGTCTCGCCAACGCAGCACCCCAACCCACGCACCCCAACCCACACACAACCCACACACAACCCAGCTTCCCAACCCACACACAACGCAGCACCCCAACGCACACACAACTCACGCACCCCAACCCACACACAACACAGCACCCCAACACACACACACAACACCCCAACCCACACACAACCCACGCACCCCAACCCACGCACAACCCACGGACCCCAACCCACGCACAACACACGCACCAACCCACACACAACGCCGCACCCTAACCCACACACAACCCACGCACCCCAACCCACGCACAACCCAGCTTCCCAACCCACACACAACACAGCACCCCAACCCACTCACAACCCACGCACCCCAACCCACTCACCCCAACCCATGCACAACGCAGCACCCCAACCCACACACAACCCACACACCCCAACCCACTCACAACCCACACACCCCAACCCACGCACAACCCACACACCCCAACCCACGCACAACGCAGCCCTCCTCCTCCCCCCGCCCGCCAGCCTCGTCCCTCGAGTGACAACGGCACTTGAAGACTGCGAAATGGCGACAATGTCAAATGCTTGGGAAGACAAAACTAAAACAAGTCGTTATTATTATATATAAAGGTCTACTTTTCAAAACACTTGTTCTACGAATTCTCCCTATCCCGCGTACTAAACACCCCCCCACCCCCAGCTCCCACTTTTTGTTGCCGTTGTATAATTTGGACGCTGCTCTTCCACCGGTTAAGGAGCCGCTGGCGATGGTGGCGTCCCCACGATACTCTCGACAAGTTTCAGGAACACAACGAACCAAACGGCCCGCGGCCGATGGCGGGGAGGGCACACACGATAAGGCTGCTTCGCAGCCCACGCTGCGTCGAGGTCGTCTTCCGAGCTCCACTTCATGACAGCGTTACAAAGCAGTTCCGTGTTTTTCTCCCTCCCTCTCCCTGTATTCTTTGTTACTCAGAAATGCAGTGTTGCCAAATCCTTGATAAGGAGGAACCCTTTTGCGGTCCTTTAGGTGAAAGCTTTATTATAAAAAAAATACAAGAAACGTCTGGATGGTCAAAACGTCACCATTTGTCTGTGTGAATAATGAGGTTTAATATAGCTACATTGACAAACTGGCCGGTCGCATTCACAAAGTGCGCGATAAAATAAAGGGCCACATCTAACAAGTGGTCGTTTTTCGGAGGATGCGGTATTACGCCAATGCGGCATGAAAAAAAATCAGGACAGAAACAACTGGAGGGGAATTGTACAAAATTAAATGACGTCTACCAAAATAACCCTTATAACACCGCCATCCAAACGTTACCGTATTCACAAAAAGATCTATTAAAAAAGCTCCGATTCGGCAACACTGTCTGAACGTAAGATTCATTTTTGATCATGCGGCATCCACAAGTGTTGTTCACCAAACAGTTCTGTGCACGACACTACCAACAGGATCGTGCGCGATATGTGAACTGGCCAGGAGGTTGCGAACGCAGGTCAAACTTTGACGACAAGACACCGAACGAAGACAGGGGGGGGGGGGGGGTGCAAGAGGAAGTGAACTGGGGAATCCCTTGAGTCAATGATATCGTCACCAGAACACCGCGCTTCTCCTCCGAGGTGAAATGCCTTTTGCATTGTAACCGAGGTTTACGTGGACGTGACACGGCCGCTGCATGTAGCGCAGAGAGCCGAGCACACTTGGGACGGTCTGCGCCTCGCCTACAGAAGGGATCCCGTGCGGATGAACCGAGCGGAGCGCGCGCAAAACGTTTCTAATGTCACGCTGTCACGGTCGGTCCGTGCGGCATGGGTGCACGATGCATGGCTCAATTACGGACCCGTTAGCTTTTCACAACTGTTTCAATCCGCACTATGGGGACCTCATTTGCCAGTAAAAATATGATAATTGGTTCTTTACCCTTCTATCTGGCAACAAAACTGACACCTTTTTGCAAGGAGTCATGTTTGCATAGACCGCAATACCTGCAGTCATAAATACAAACAAAAGACATAACTCTGATAGTGCACATTATCAGAGTTATGTCTTTTGTTTGTATTTATGACTGCAGGTATTGCGGTCTATGCAAACATGACTCCTTGCAAAAAGGTGTCAGTTTTGTTGCCAGATAGAAGGGTAAAGAACCAATTATCATGTTTCAATCCGGTTCAGTGGTTGTTGCAATTAACAAGCGAATTGGCCTCTTTTGAATGTTAAGGATCAATTTACAAAGTTTGATTTCGGGACAAAGTTCGTTTTAAAAAAGCAAAAAAAAAATCAACAAAGCACGATGGCGGTTTCTATCATTTTTATTAAAATTTTACTATAAACTGTGAATGTATCGGTGTTTAGCGATTCATCAGGTAAGCGACGAGAAGATTCGCTGTTACTTTTCAATGAGATAATCTGCGATCTGATGCATCTTCACGTGCCGAGATTGTGTGGCTTCGTAGCGCTCGGGATTCACATTTTCAAGAAATGCAAAGTCTACCCTTAGCCGGGGTGTTTCGTCACCACCAAGCCATTTCACATGATTCAGCATTTCAATAATAAACGAAGGATGATATGCACATTCACTTTCAGAAGAACTAAAAGGTTGGCTGGAGACAATGGCCGAGTTGAAAAGACAGAAGCGCTTGCACGCTACGCGCGTGTGCAGGCGGTACAGCTCCTGAGATACCGGCGTGCATTGTACTTGTGTTGAACTTCTTTCGCACCGTACGCAGCCAACCGTGCTAGTTGCTGTAAGAGGAGGTACTTTGACGATTGTTAATGCGAGTCGAGAGCAGAAACAGAACGGGCACCCCCCCCCCAATGCGCGTTGGACAAAGTGAGACTACAAACGGAGTTTTGGCTTAAAGAAGTTTTCTAAAAAGGCAATTTCTGCCCAATTCACAACACAACTTAAGCACTGCTCCACCGTAAGAAATGCGCGTCTGGAAATGAGTCTCCGCGCTTACAGAGCAGCGGACAATAGTCGAACCGAGGCCACAGCAACCCTGCGGCAATTCCACCAGCTAGGCCGCCCCTCCCCCTCATCGGTAAAACAGGAACCGCGGATCACAGGGTGATGGATAATAAATTCAATGTGACACACGCACAGAGGGCTTCACGCAAAATGCACCTAACCGATGCGG